TCCCTGTGCAGCACGTCTATTGTCCTAACATTAGTCACATAGTTGCAAGAAGCGACTTGAATGCGGAACCTGCCTGTTTTGAAGCCCTGTTGTTTGTTGGGTGACACTGCACAGAGGTAAGGATGGGGTGTGATTTTGCTGCTGTTTGTCAGGTTCAATATGTGTGTCAATGATCACAAAGTACTCTAAAGGTTTAAAAAATGCAAAGCATGGCCTAACAAAGCACATTACCTAGGTTTTGACAAGCAGCGCAGCGACTGTGGTACAAAGGCCCAGTCCTGGTCCCATGCTCATGTTAGCAGCTGGATCTGCTCCCAGGAAACAAAGGTAAAACACTATTGACAGCTTTAAGATGAAATCTGCAGGAAAACTAAGCCATCTATAAAATCTAACATAAGCTTAAAAGCGCAACAGAGCATTTCTGATTCAACGTGCAGCACTTCCGCTTTCATCCGCCATCAGCAACTCAGTTCAAAGAATGATGCATTACATCACTAAAATTTATTTCAAAATACCTCTGCGTGGTGTTTACACAAACAACAGTTCTTTACTAGACATGGTCGACCTCAGGCCACCCACACTTCAGCAAACAGGGTATTATCAATGTTTAACGGCTCAAGGTTAGTCGTCTTGGATGTTCAGAAATAAAAAGGTGAACATTCATTGTCTCTTCCTTATTTGTCACCATCAATAGATTGTGGACTCCTCAGAGCATGTCTTGATTATGGAGTTGAAACAGCAGTGAGCAAATCATTTATGATTTTGATACTATGATTAATTTCAGTGAGTTGCACACTTGACACCTGCCATTGATAAGTTCATGGCTCTTGCATTCTTCAGTCACATGTAGGACGGCCTCTTAAATATTTAAATACAAAAATAAAAATACTGCTAGAATTAGAAGACTATTAGAATTAGTTTGGCATATCAATTTAATTCTCCACCTCGTGGCGCCGGGCGCTGTTCCAAGAGGCGTTGTTATTTTTCAAGGTTTCAATAAAAAACAAGTCGACAGATACAGAAACTTCGGAAAAGGCGGAAACGTCACAGGTTTTAAGTGCCAATACCAATACATTGTGGCACTTATTTGCACAGATGTCAAAATCAAACACGAATTTATTTGCGATGAAGTAATTGCTGGAGAAACGGTTTTCACGACTCTGATTTTCAAAGAACGCCCATCAAGATGGCTATCTCAACTCAATTCTAATGTTAAGGTGGGACAGTCCCTTTAACTGGTAGTGCGCGCATAGTTACTCGGCCGGCAGGATGCCGCCTCTTCTCTCGATCAACACGGAGGCGGCCCACCGGCGTACTGTGTAACTAACCGGCTTTAATCAGCTTCATCAGGCCGGAAGCCGCTATGATCGTGTTTACTGAGAGTCGCGCGCGGCGAATCGTCCCCGGCCCTGTCGCGCTCCAATGCGCCCGCTTTGGAGACGAGGTCGGTGGCGACGGAGGCGACGGAAACGACTCTGCTGGCTATTGTCAAGGTCGGCGCAACGTGCGCGACGAAGCCTGCGGTCGGATTTGCTGGAATTTAACCTGTACCGAGAAAGGACAGTGCAATATCGGATTTGATGGCCGATAGTTTGGATCAGTGGTGGTCACGGTGGGCAATGCGTGGAAGCGCGATGCTATCACGGTCCATCGAGCCGGTCGGTCTGCGGGTCAGTCGGGGGTACGTCGGCGGGGTGTTTTCGTGACCCGTCGCCTGCCGCCTCTGGCCCTGGGGGCGGCCACGGTGGCACGATGGGAGTGGGCTGCGTGGCACGCAGGACGCGCCGAGCGCCGGTCAATAGCGGGGCGACCCGCCGCCGCCGCCGCCGCCGCCGCCGCCTCCGCTGCCGGCCAGCAGGCAGGCATACATATCGACCGCGGCGGCCTGGCCAGCGAGGCGACGACGCTGCCGTCGCGTCGGCCCCGACGCCCACGTCCGAGCGACGGGGAAGGCCGCCCCGGACTGCATTCAGAGTCTCTGAAGCTGCTCCGTCAGCGCACTGGGGCAAATAACCCAGTCGGCCGGACATCAAACAAATCCGCCGGCCAGTCAGATTGCGGGCGTTCAAATTGGGTTAACGACTTAGTGAGTGTGTGGGAGGCCAGTCCGACCGAGTGAGCTCAAAGTCTGTCCGGCCGTCTGAACTCGGTACGGAACTCTGAACTCTGACAGGCGCGCGCTTCGTGTGAAATTGACCTGAACGGAACACCTGCGCTCGCCCGCCCGTATGTATGGCCTCGCATGACGGCGCTGTTGGAGGTAAAAGATCGACAACCTACCGCCCACCGCAAGATGACTTCCAATCTGCGCTCAGAAAGTGAAAGGTATTCACTTTTAGATTTATTCCGACGATGGGCATACCGGTATTCAGTAATTCTCGCTTTGAGAATCATCTACCACGTGCGTCTTGCGGCAGCGAGAATCCATTATCATCGGGCCATAGTCGCCGTTCTCACGCACCAGCGGGCTGCGGCGGGCGCTCAGCGTGGGGGCGGTGCCGTCCGTCTGGGCTGGCCGGCTCTCGGCGCAGACGACTGACGCGGCCGGCCGACCGGCCCCTGTCGCCCGGTCGATCCCCGTCGCCGCCGACGGCCCGACCCAGCCATGGGCGGCTGGGCGGGGGCGGCGGCGGCGGGCACGGCTTTGTCCGCGCTGCACCGCCGCCTCGTCGGCACCGGCGCCGGGTCAGCCGGTGCGGAGCCGCGCTGTCGGTCGGCCCGGACGTTCCCAGGTCACAGGGTCACCGCTGGGCTGCGCTGGGAGTCGGCCAGCTGGGCCTGCTGGCAGCGCCGCCCCACCCTGATGCCCTACCCCGCCCCGGTCCCCGGCCCGGCCCGCACCCCGCGGCCCGGTCCGCCGCTCCCCATGGCCCCGGAGCGTCGGCGCCGCTGCCAGCGCGGCCGTTGGGAGCGGCTGGGTGTGGTCACGGGCGCGCATTATTCACCGGTCAGAGGGGCCGCTCATCAGGGACCGGCCAGCGGCCAGCGCTGCTCGGCCCTGACCGAGGTCTCTCCCGGGTTCTCCGCACGTCAGGTCATTGTCAGCGCCTGGTGATTCTCTCCGCTCCTCGATCTGAGTCAGACCGGCGCGGCAGTCTCGGTGTGACAGTGTCCATCTGCTATGGACGCGGAGCTGCGCCCGGTGGGTGCGCGCGCCGGGGAATTTCCTGTCGGCGGCGTCCACAATCGGCGTGCGGTGTCCGCAGCCGGCTCGCCGTGTCCGCTGATGTTTCCTGTGCCGATAGGCGGCCGTCACGACTTCCTAGTCGGAGCACACGCTGCGCCCGACTGAAACGCGAACTGGGCCGACCGGTGGCCTTCGCCGAGCGCGACCGGCGCCCCCGTGAAAAACGGGAAAGTCAGCCACTGCACGGCGACCTTGGCGGAGCTGACTCGGCCAGTCCGTCGTGCCTTGCTGGGTGTATTACTGTATTGTTTGTTTTACTGTTGACGAAGGTGAACCTGTAATGTAAGGAGACTCTTAGTTCCCTTCAGGAAAGTAGTATTTGTAATGCATTAGACCCCGTTACTGAGAAGCATTGATACATGATGGATCGCACCTCTAACGCGTGATTAGAAATACAGCCTAATCAGCGTTACATTCAGTCACGTCCACGGGACACCCGCCGCTCGGCTGAACACGGTGGTATGTAAACAGAAAGGCTGGGTCGTCATGGCACCAGTGGTGACACCAGGAAGTGTCGTGGTCGCTTCTGCACGTCACCGCCCCGCGGCCGTGGCGTAGGCCGTGCCCGGTACGGCTATCTGCCGTACCGGGCCTTACGATGGCCGAGTGAGTGGAGATCAGCGGGTAGTGAGTGGCGACGGATGAACGCGGGTTTCTTCATACATACCGGGCCTCTGGGTAGCACTGATAATGACCTAACTAGTAACCAGCGATCGCCATTTACTAATCGACGTCATTCCCGGACCCCTCCCGGACTCCCGGACCCCCGAGCGTTGACCAGTCGGTCTCAGCATAACGTCACGCCAATCACTAGCCACGTGACGTGACCCAGAATCCGGCGGCGGCTGTCTGGCTGCTCTGGCTACTGATGGCCTGCGTCCGAGGCCGAGCGGCCTCGTGACACGGAACAGGACACCTGCGCTGGCACGCGCGTCTGGCGGCCATGAGCTCTGGTCACGGGACCGGGGACAGACCGGAGAGTGGTCCCCGGAGACCGGCGAGCGGTCCCTGGAGACCGCGGACACTCGGCGGAGATTTGACTCACGCTGTGGCTCGGTGAGGCAGAGTCGCACCGCGCTGACTCGAGCGGCTGTGCCGTGTCGCGCCGAGGTTTGGTGGATGTTGGCCGCGCCGCCCCGGGGAGCGGCCCCAGTGTTTGTGTGGGCAGATGGGGAGCGGGACCGGGCCGGCCCCGCCGAAGTGCCGGTTGGCGGCGCGCCCGTCATGGGGAGAGGCGCTGGAGTTGGGCCGAGACTGGCGCTCCTCTGTGGGTTCGCTCGGTGGAGCTTGTGGGATGGTTTGTGGCTTCTGAGATGGTTCATTCGTTCCCTGACGTGTAACGCATGACGGGAAAGAGAGAAAGGGGGTCGGTCAGACCGACCTCCTTCGACACAGACCATTGGATATTCAGGACTGTCAAAACAATTAGTACACAGCTGAGATGCGGTGACAGCAGCAAAGCGTGTGCCAATCACAACGGCGCTCTGTGGTCAGACATACGTCACCTCTGTTTGACCCTGCCTTCCTCTTCTTGGATAAGCTCTCTAAACTGTTACCGATGGCTCTCTTCAGCCATGTGAAGGTGCGATCAAATAACCCTAATCCCCCATGTCACCCGTGTCCCCACGTCCTGTTTGCGTCAGTAAGCCCGTTATGCAGTGAGTCCGGCACCGTGTCCGTCTGTCATATGCCGGCAGCGGCCGTCGGGCGGTCTGTCAGCCGTCGAGCTCCGCGCCGGCACCGTCTGTCGTGTCATCTCCGCCAGGGCCGTCCGTCCGTCAGCGTGTCTAACTTGGTCATCCTCGTGTTTCAGGCTACGTCAACTGCGCTCCGAGCGCCATGCACTCTCTGGCCCAGCTGCACGGTGAGTTATTGCCGCCCCCGCCCCCGCCCCGGGCCGGGACTCACGGAACGCGCGGCGCTCGGCCGTGGCTCGGCCGTCACGGACGGTTCCGTCACGGACGGATTCGTCACCGCTCCGTCGCTGGCACGCCATGCCGGAGATGCTACGTGACGCATGAGGCTGCAATTGCCTCCGTGATCGGGGCTGTAACTGTAAACGGGCGGTGGGGTTTAGTTGGGAGGGAGGAGGCGAAGGCCGGCACTGCAGCTGCAGACGAGAAGACTGGTGGGAGCTGGTCTAGACTGGTCACAGTGACTGGTATTGGCTGGCTGTAGTGACTTGGGATGACTTGCCTAGCGACTGCAATGTAGTGATGACCGGTTATTTTGACTGATAGTGATTTGTGAGCTGGGTGGTTTCTGAGGCGGCTGCCTGTAAGTACCGATCGATGATCAGATGAAGTGGCGCGACGGCTAGTGCCGAGTGCCGACCGACTAGCCACCGCTGACGGAGCCGGTGACGGCTGCCGACTGCCGACTGCGGACCGACCGACCACCGCGCTGACAGAGCTGGTGACGGCCGGCGGCCGGCGGGTGTCGCCGCCCAGATCCTCCGTGATGAACTGTCCCTGTACGGCCCCGAACCGACCGGTCGGAGCGTCCGAGCGCCACCGTGACGTCACAGAGGTGCCGCCAGGGCCAGTCAGGGCTGTCCCGGTCAGATAAATGGGCCGGGCGCCGCCGCCGTCATCGCCGCCATCGCCCTCGGCGGCCCGGAGCTGACGGATCTCTAACGAGGTTCGGTGGCGGCCGCGGGATCCATGGTCTGAAGATTTGTGGGTCGAGCTCCTGACGCGAGCCGCGGGTCCCGACCCCCGCTGAGCGCGGTCCAGGGGTTAAATCCACCTCCACCGCCTGGTGGTGTGGCACGTGCGTCTCATTAGTGTCCCATGACCTGTCAACGCTGCGGACCCCCGCGCAGGCACGCCGAATTCCTCCAGCGCGGTGGCTGGCGGCGGGCGCTGGCGGCGCGGTGACTAGCGGCTGGCAGCCGCTGCCGCACCGCCCGCCGCCACCGGCCGCTGCCACCTGCACCTTGTTGTCTGTCGGCACAGACGGGCCTGCCCGGCGCGGCGACCTTCGGCGGCGCTCCGCCGTGCAGACAGGTGCAGCCAGCTCCAGCGGCGGGCCGGCGGGCCGACGGGCGCGGCGGCCGGGTCCCAGCGCCGCTTTACGGCCGCTGCAGTCGGCCCGGCGAGCCGAGATGGCTGGTGACGGGGTCCGTACCGTCGCCCGAGTCGCCGGGGTCGCGTGGACTCAGTCACCGCCGAGTTCTATCCCAGCCAGCGGCATGGAAGGAGGCGGCGACTGGCGAGCGAGACCCGCCCGCCTCTGCCCACCGCTCGGTCAGACGGTCTTATGGGCGTACCCCGACACCGCGCCAGCTCGATACTCCAACTAAACGGTACTGAACAGGCAAACAGGGATACCCGGCGGACAGCCATTGGAGCGCTATACATAGACACAATGGCGGTCGTCGTCCGGTGGTATTGAACTGGCCTGGCAGTGGCGCCGTTGTTTATCGACACAGGTGCCTGGCTCGGTGGACTGCCTGCCAAATGGCCTCGTGCCCCGCCGGAGAGGGCAGTATGGGACGGAGCTGCGTTCGGGGGACGTTCCTGTCGCACCGTGCGGGTCGGAGAGCGTGCCACGGCACGCCGCAGTGCCGCAGATCGAACGACGCGTGCCAGCGGCACGGCGGAGCGACGCGACCGACCTGGATCGTCGCCAGCCGCCGCCGCCGCCGGTTATAGATCTGTTTGCGCTGCCGGCGGTGGGCGGTGGGCGGTGGGCGATGGGCGGTGGGCGGCTGTCCTGCGCCGCCGCCAGTGTTGTCCTCTCGGAGGAGGACTGCGCCGGCGCCCCGCAGCGTCGCTATCGACGCTGCGTGCCGTCGCCATTGATGACGGTGCCGCTCTCTGGCGGCGGGTAGCGCGCTGCCGCCGCTCGCTGCTCGCTGCTCGGTGGCTGTCTGCAGCCGGGTCCGGTGGGTGTTTGCCAGCCTGCACAGCCGGCCCGGCGCGGCCCGCGGCTGCGGGGGCACCGAACCAGCTCAGGGCCGCGTAATCAAACAAGTGCATCGCCGCCTTGCATATTTTGATGGGTGACTGATAGGACAGAGTCTAGCGCGCACACTGTGTCCTTTGAGCGGCGCTGCGCACACACAACACAGTGCGAGTTAGATGGCTTGCTGAATGCTGATGTTTTATCGCTCCGGGCGCGAGGGGATCTGCGAGGAGGAGTTGCAAATAACACTGGTAATGCGATTTATCATGTTTGGCCAGTGCTAATCTAGCGAGGGAGATCGACAGCGGATCAAACCTTGTCGATAGAAGTAGGGACATATTCCTCAACGAGTTGCTGTGGTCACTAGTCAGATATTTGTGGTCGAAGATTTGTCAGTTTGACAGAAGTAGTGAGACTTGGGTACAAGTTCGAGAGACTGATCTGAGTACGAGAGACTGAGGGATGGCGTAGTTTGAGCAACGTGGCATATGTAGCGCGCTTTGAGCAGCGTGGCATATGTAGCGCGCACACGACCTCGCGTTGAGTGATGGGAGCGATAGACAGCTGGCTGGCTCCCATCCTGACGGGGGCCCCGTGGCGCGTGCCAGGCTCAGCCCTGTGGCTGCAGGGAGGCCGCTGTGCGGGTGCTCTATCTGCATGGCGTCGCCGCCGTCTACTGAGGTCTGTGTGTTTCTGGGAGTCTGTAGGGAGCGGACATCCGCCCCCGCCCCCGCTCGTCGGGTGACGGCCGGGCGCCGGCTCTGACCGATGTCCCAAGGCCGCTGGTCGCCGCGGACGGATGGTAGCGGATCGGTGGTGGGCGGCCGCCAGAGGCGACTCGAGCACCTGTGTAATGAGGCGTGTGTCGCGGGACAGCGGCTGTGCCCTGTGTCATCACATGCAGAGAGGAAATCAACGGAATCCTCACAGCAGGGTGCTGATACTTTCACACCGCTGCGTCAGGCGGGGAGGGGAGGATTGCAGCCTGCTGCAGACGGTATGCCGTGTGCGTCATGCCCCCACAGCTGAAACCTCTGCGAGCTAGCCGATTTAGCACGGCACGGGTGCGGCTCGACGGTACCTTTGGGGACTCTGAGAATTCAGCGGTGACGCGTTGTGTACCCGCTCGGAGCGTCGAGTGGCCACCGCGAGACCGGTTCGCGAGCCGACAGGTGCAGGATTGCGGGGCCGATAGGGCCGGCCGTCGACGGGGTGAGGGCTGGTCACTGCAGGTCGGACGCTGCAGGAGATATACGGGTCCGGCGCTGCGGTCGCTGCTGGCTGCATCGGGTGGGAAGACAGGTGGATACTGTGCGGTGCAGGTGGACAGCAACAGTCAGATTCTTTACAGGCGGCCGAATGTCCAATGGACAGGGACGCCTTGAGACCTCATTTTCACTCACTCGCCCTGGACAACATCTGTGGACATCATGGGGCCGTCAACTTTTCGCTTTTAGCGTTCCGTCATACACCAAACAACGTCCATTTTTCATTATTGATCGGCTTCATCGCATTGTCAGCTTCCTTGCGTCGCCGTTCGTTTCTACCGTACCTACACCACGCCGGGGACATCCGCGATCGGATCTGGGCTGGTGCACCTGTGGTGACACGAAGCCCCGTCACCAGCGGCACGGATCTCCGGCCCAGCTGGCACGGGACGACTGCCAATCGTCGGCCCGGCTGAGTCACCTTAGACAACACCAACCCGCGTCCTCCGCCTCCGCCGCCACCTCGTTCGCACGAGGTCTCCAAACCGAGGATTCAGCTCCATCCATCCGGTGTCCTCGCCAGCTTCCGCGTCCGAACCGCGAGCTGCCGTCGAACGCTCGTTCCAACTACCAATGAGCTGTGAGGGCGCCGAGAAGTGGTCCACTTGGGCACAGCCGCGGCTGCTCCGAGTGGCCAGAGGCACTCGGAAAGTTTCGGCACGTGCCTGTCATTGCTGCGCGAACCGAGTGGCCTGATGAAGCGCTCAGAATGAATGTCGTCTGTCGGCGGGACGATGCCGGCTGTTCTTTTTGCCGAAGCCAGGTGCTATTCGAGGAGTTCGTGCGCGAGGATTGCAGGGAGGTGATGCAAATTGCAGGGATATCTGCGGATCGAAATGGGACGCGGTTCTCGGAATAAATTGGGTGGACTCAGCCTCACCCTACTGTTGAGTGATCGGGTGTGTTAACTGGTGGTTCTTTCCAGTCGGTGAGATATGAACCTTTTTCGTGACCTCCTTGAGCTGTTTGTTTTCTTTCGTCGTTGCTCGTTACCGAACGAATCAGGGTGCTCACTCAAAGCAGCGTCCCGTCTGCTATTTTCAACTGTTCCACCTCGAGATGTTGTTTTTTCGAGTAGCTTCGCTAGCGAAGCTACATAGCGTGGTGGTGATTGTTGTCTGCTATTCAGAGCGAATGACTAATTAAAAACACGTCAGACATGAGGCCAACGAAAACACAGTGGCTGGCTCGGCTCTCTGGACGGCAGTTCCTTCTGTCTGCCCAACAAACATTGGCGACAGTCTCGAGCGCTGAAACATAGCGTCGACCTGATTTAAACAATGCAATCCGTCTGCATAGGTCTCGTGATTGATAAAGCCAGTCGTGCTTCAGATCGATGGATGCAGTGTTGATTGCCTATCTAATCGGCAAGCATTCTTCAGTGGATCTGTGAGATTGCAGGGGATCAGGCGCAGCGGGGTCCGTCTGATTCATGGCCTGCTATCAGCTCAAGGCTGCACTTCGTCGTGATTGCACAGGTCCGGTGACAAAGACAGAGCCTCGGTCGCACCCCTGCGTCGGCGCGTCCTCGTCAAGTGGCTGGTTCAGGGCTCTGAATGCTTTGCATCTGTAAGCGTGCTGCGTACGAGTCATCCAAGCTGTGGTTTGGTTCGAAAACCTCTCGCCCGATGTGCTCTGTGCCGACTGCCGAGATCTCCCTCCAGTAGAAGGAAATAGTTGGCTCCCCGCGGTACCTCTGGTGCTCCCCTCCCAGCCACCAGCTGGGCTCCCCAGCGCTCGCAGCTGTGACAGCGACACGCCCGGAGGCGCCCCTGCAGCTCTCACCGCTGCGTACGCCCTGCCGCGCACCCGAGCCTGTTTATCCACGGTTCTCCGGCGCCGCGATGGACGGCGCTCTAATTGGAAACTCCACTCAGAGCCGCTGTTATTAACTTGTTGAGGCGCGGTTGATTAGCGACCTCCTGCACTGTTTTATGGCACACTCTTGTTGTTGTGCTCACCAGCCCGCTATTTATTGGTAGTTAAACGATTCTGGCTAGATTATAGTAGTTTGTCAGTCTTAAGAAAATTAGCTGCCCTATCTGACAAGCTACATGAGTGATATTAGGTGGGAAAAACATCGTGATAGAGTTCTTGCGATGCTACTGAATTCGCTTTTTGTTTGCCTTGATTCCGCTTCACCAATGCAAATAAAAACGGCTCGATGAATGTCAAATTTCCCAGCCGGCGTATCTGCGTCAGCGTTCTGCCTGGGCGCGCCACTGTGTGACTCGCGCGGCGCGTGGGGACGCCGTCTGAGCCACGTCGCTCGGGCCCAGAGGCGCTCTCTCTCTCTCACGATGAGACAGGCAGTCGCGCCGGCCACAATCAGCTTATCTGGACACCCGGCGAGGCTCGGCGCGTCTCTCAGGAGCTGGAGTGGGGAGCGGACCCTGCCGCTGTGTGACTTCGGACGGACCCACGCGGCGCCAGGAGCGGCCGGCCGGCGGGGCCCAGTGACGTCCGAGCGCTGGGGCCACGCCAGGTCTGGCCGGACCACGCCCGGAGGAATGCCAGGGAGCCAGCTGTGAGACTGGCGATCTCGTGACGCGTCTAGGATCGGCTACCGTCACATTCATCATCCCCCGCACCAGCTGGACTGAACCGAACCACCCACGGCTATTGAAGTCGGCTGGATTTGTTCCAGCTGAGGAGAACCTCGCAGAAGCCTCGGTTATTGATGATTTGATCACCTGCCACTGCGCTCAACGCCGGCATCATCCGCGCCGCCTCAGCGCTGCAAATGCGTCACATTCGCCGCCGGGGTTACGATGACGTCATTCAGACGTCATCGTCGGGCTGGTACGATGCAGTTCCGGGAATTGGCGAGCTGTCCCAGCGTCGTCCTGTCCAGAGTCAGGGAGAGTAAATAGAACCGGCGCCGAGTGCTCTGCCGCTGCGGCGTCGATAGGCGGCGGCCGGGTGGGCGAAGCCGCAGCGGTCGTGCTCGATAGCGTCGCTGTGATGACGCCAGCCAGCCGTCTTCATCGACTGGCGCCGCCGCTGCTGTCGTCGTCGCGTGCCGGGACTCTGCACGGCCGTCGCCTGATGACGAGCTAGTCGGCTGGAAAGACCGCCGTTTTATGGGCAGTCCGCGCCGCCTGCTTGGGGTCGTTTTTCGCCGTGTTTTTGCATGACGGCGAACACATGTCGAGCGGGTGCGGGCAGGCGGGGAGCGGGATCGCGGTGGTCGGACGCGGGTGGTGAGGTTAGGATCACTGCGGTGGTGGAGCGGAGACTGATGTGCCGCGTTTGTAAACACTGTCCCGACACTCGTGGCTGCGGCATTTCGCTGGTAAACACGGGAAAGGGGCGTGTGCGAGCGCCGTTGCAGGCTGGAATCTCAACACCACCAACTCAATGGGCTTGCAGGGCGTTGAAGGCGATCTGCTAGTTGTGATGAGTGGCGTTTTGTTGACTTGTTAAGGCTGCTCGACGGAATAGAGTATGAGTGGGATGAGGGCTGGCTGGGATTCTTGCTTTGTTGGCGGAAGCCCTTGCGGTGCAAATGCCAACTCATCTTGTCGTGCGACCCTGGGTTTGAAGTTCGCGTGGGTCGTCGCGTGCGAAGAGTATCTTGCGAGGGTGGGACAAACCACCGGTCCAGACGGCAGACCGTGCCAGCCTTACAGGCGTACTTCCCCCGCCTGACGCACTGCTGCGCGGTACTTCGTACCAAACTGACAGCCGCTTTTCTCCTGCCGCGTAAACCTCGCGGTCCGTCTTTTTGCGCGGTATTTGGTCTGCAAAGGACTCTGGTGGAAGTAATGCAACTCTGACGTCTCTGGGAATGTAACGGTGACTGTGGGTCTTGGTCTTTTTTAGATTGGGTGGGAGTACATAACGCTCAGCAAAAGACAGCTAATTTGAGGGGCTGCGATAGCGCTGGTCTGCTGCCAGCCTTTACCTGGATTTTACATCCAGCTATCATGCAAGTGATAAAAATCGTGCACTGTTTGCGCCGCATGACACCATGACACCTTTCACCGTTAAGCAGGCTCCATGGTGTGCGACTGCCTTTGGAGGAAACAGCGTGTTCGCCAGGACGAAATTGGTACACGGCTTTTGTGGCCCGGCTGAGTCCGGTATCAATTCGGAGTTTCCCCCATTGTTCTGCGTCCTCGGGCTGAGTCATCCACTTCCTCTCTGCGACTTGCTTCACACACCAACTTCCTCACTTTGAATCACCGACTTTCTTCACTTCCTCCCCGGCGCCTTGTTTGTCATTAGGTGCAGTGATAGTCCCCATCAGCCGATTGCCTTGCGCATTTGTGACTCCCCGGCTTCCTCCGTAGTAAGTTCCCATCCTCTGGTCTGATTGCCGTCCGCTGTTGTGACTCCCATGTTTCCTCTCTATCGCGACTGGTGCAATCATGAGTCATCATTGGCGCATGGACCTCTTTTGATTGCCAGTTCGTCCATAGCCACCACTTACCCCTGTCGCTCACAACATGCAAAACACCTCATTGCTGCACCTTCGACGGTAGTGACAGTAAGACCACCTCATCTTCCCCAGTGTCCCCACTGACTCTCTGTACCACACGTCACCGCGAAAGCCCCTCGTCACCCCGAGTACTCCGCTGACCCTCCGTGCCCCATGTCACCCTCGAGTGCACCGCTGACCCTCTGTGCCCCAGGTCACCCTCGAGTGCTCCGCTGACCCGAACGCCCCCGCTGACCCTCTGCTCTCCCTCTGACAGGTAAGCCGGCGCTGTTTGCCGGCCTGGACGAGTCGTCAGCCCACCTGCTGGACGACCCCACGCTGCTGGAGGGTCTGGCCGCCATCAGCCCCTCGCGCACTTCGCCCCGCTCCTCGGGATCCGGCGAGAACGGCGAGCGCTACAGTCGCAAGGTGTTCGTCGGAGGACTGCCGCCCGACATCGACGAAGGTGAGCGAAGAAAGAGAAAGGAAGAAGCATGGGGATAGTAGGGCAGGAGGGGGTGTTGCCCAAGAGGCTTAGAGGTGGACGGTCGGAGGTAGGACGCGACTGATACGATCGTTTGTAACAAGATGCTATTGGATCTCGGAAGCCCGCTGGCTCGGAGACGATTTACACTTGAATGGTGTGGTGCTTTCCCCGCCTGCATTTCGCCGATTCCCGTTACAGTGAGAATTTATTCACATTGCTAAACGGCCATTTACCCATTCACCGATGCCCTTTTCTGCGCTGTGTGAAGTCACGCGGCGGATATGGGCTATGAAATGTCGACCTGTAGACCATCGGGCACAGCTGCCGCCACTACTCAGCACTCAGAGCACGCCTGCAGCCCCGGCTCGGCACGGCCGCAGCATAAAGCCGCCAGCGCTCCGGATGTGTCCCAACCCTTGCCTTTATAAATAAATAACGGAACTGCTGTGGCGATCGCATTAGTTTCCGAGAACTATGGCGTGACATTTAATTACGTTGCTGTCTAGTTCGTCGTGTCTGTCTGGCCAGCTGCTCTGGTGCTCCGCCCCGTTCATGTTCTTTGTAGTTGCCTCATGTCTGTGCTCTGCGTCCGAATTCCTGGATTATCCGGTCAGCATGGCGGAATGCTTGTCGTCATGTATGTAGCTACTACGAGTCACGACCCGTGAGGCTTAGTTTCTTTGGTTTGTTCATTAATGCCGACGTTATTAGCTGGCACGCTTTGGGACATTTGGAGATTGTAATTATGGTGGTGGCGCGGTGTTTTGTGGCGGGTTTACCACTTCTTTGGCACTGCCAACGAGGTGATTTACCCGCGGAGTGGGCCATTGCTGTGTGCTCTGCAGGAGGCAGCTTCATTTGCACGCTCCCCGCGAGCGGCTCGTTTCCTCCTCTGGGGACAGCCGGGCTCGTTGGCGAGCGGGCGTGTTTGTCGTGCGATTTAGCCGCTCATTCGAGCTTCTCAGCATACTGTTCGTCAGTTCCGCGCCGGTCTTATCGGGCCGGCAGCGCGCCGGCTGCCAAAACCGGCGCTGTTAAGTCCCGCCGGCCGGTGGCGGCCTGTCTGCTGCGCCGTTTACGGCCGGGAGGCGGCCAAATGATGCGCCTCCGCGGCTCGGGAGGAGAACAGATAGCGATGGGAGGAACGTCGCGCCCGCCGACGGACGAGAGGCGTATCGGTCTGTGTGGCCTCCGGTGGGCGTGTGAAGGGAGAACAAAGCTGGGAGGTGTGTGGGCGGGCAGGACCGACACTCGCCGGATGCGTGTTTAATACCGGTGCCGCGCTATCACATTGCGATGGTGGCACAAACCAAGTCGTAAATTCAAAAGTTGGACGTGTTTCCGAGTCAGTCGCGCCCACCAACCATTTCAGCTCTGTGTAAACGTGTTTTCTATGGCCTGTAAAACGCACTCCGCGACTTTGTGACCCGTGTCGCTTTAGGAGGCATTACACCGTCTGCAAGCATGCGGTTTCCAAATTAGTTTATTATCCGTCATACCGCCTTGCTTCCGTGCTGGATACCGCTACACGGCTTACCTCAGCCGCCGTATAATCACATACTTCCTTGTGCTCTCTGCACGTCAAGTCTTCGTCACGTAATGTCACGTCAATGCATCAGCATGTCGTCATGGTCTGGCAGCAGTGCCGAAATGACGTGAGCCGACTAATCCTTCGGCCGTGATACGTAACCCCTATGTAGTAACCCCCGCACTCTCCGCCTTCGTGTCCGGCCTATTCGCTCTCACTTTATGCGACACCTGACGCGGCTTTGTGCGCTCCCTCGGCGCTGGTGCTGGCAGTGTCGCGGTGGTTTACCCGTTACCGGTGCGGTGTGGGGCAGTGGCGCCGGCCGGGGGCTGACTCCCAGTGGTCAGCCCGGGTGCGTGTCCACCGTCCCAGGACGCACGATCGATGGTCTGCCCGCCCCCGCCCCCGCCCCCGCCCGCCGCGGCTACCGGTGGCACCGCTATCCTGGTCGCAGCCGACGACGAGCGACGACGTCGATGGCGACAGCGACGATGATCTACTGATTTGTCCGCGCCACCATCGCCCGGGTCGGCCCGCTGTGGGCGGGCGGCGGAGAAGCAAGCCGGACCACCGACTGGCCAATGTGATATCCGGGGGACTCTGAGGGGCCGATAGAGCTCCGAGGGACGGGTCTGCGGCGGGTGACTGGAGCGTATATGACCGGATCGGGGCTCAGATCGGCCGACGGGGCTCGGCCAATATGGCTCTCTGATCTCATCACCTTGCCCCGAGGGGTGGGGGCGTATCCGGCGGCAGGGGGACGGACACGGCTCGATGGCTCGATGGGCCGGCCTCTAGGTGGATTGATTGGAGGGATTGATCGGAGGAAGTCCGTGGCTCGCGGCTCGGTGGTAGTGCGGGAGCTAGAGGGTGGAGCTCAGACAGGGTACAGGTGAGAGGAACTTAGATATAGCCTTGCTGCAAACGGGGAAGGTTTTGAGGTCATGGGTGGTTTCTATCTGCCTGACACGGGAACATATACCGTTAAAAAACGAGGTCATTCCAGATGAGACATCGGTTTATAGACTTTCGTGTCTCAGGTGAACAACAGACACTGTCGTGTTGTTATTGTTTAATCATGGCCTAATTGGTGAAATGTTTGAATCCTCTGTTCTCGTTTCCCACGGCGAACACTAAAAAGCAGCCGGTACGACCTTCAGCCGTCAACATCCAACCGCCCTGGGAAAAAGTCAATTATGCGGGCAATCAGCGGCTCATCAGCGCCGTATTTTCCGTCGTCAGGGCCGGATCATTGGGCGACATTATCCACAATCGAACTTGTGAGCGGCTGCTCCGCCTCTGCCGGAGGCGCCACTCGTCCGTCTGTCCGTCTGTCGCTCTGTCCTGCCAGCACGCCAAACTAGAACAGACCGAATCCATATAATGGCACGCCTCCGAGGTCGCTCCGGACCGCCTCTCGGCCTGTTTTCGGCCGAAAAACGTCGCGTCGTGCGGTGGCCGATGGTATCGGCGGCGTTTTTGGAGCGGCGCCGCCAGGGGCGTCCGACGGGCTCGACGATCAGGTCACGCGCGCCGCCCCGGGGGACCCGAGCTGCGATAACATCGCGCCGAGAAGACATATAGAATGCCGCTAATGGGTCGTTTGTCTTGCGCTGGCAGCTTTTGGAAGAGCCGCCCGCCGTCCGAGTTTTGCATCTGAGCTGGTGTGTTGTTTTGGAGGAGATTATCACGGGCCGGGTGGTCAGGGCACAATTTGCGTGGTCGGTAACGGTTTGTGGGAATGAGCAGGTCACGGTGTCGCCGCCCGGTGACGGCCTTTCTCGTGGGACCGTCTCACGGTTTCGCAGTGCACATGACGAGACGTGTGGGGCCGTGTCGGGCAGCGGGTGAGTTGCAGGTCGGCCGAGCTCTCACTCACGCTATCGCTGCGCGAACGGTAGTCTCATTCAATCTTAGCTTCCACCCAACGTATCCCGCTTCTGACCCAGTCTGGTTCCTTATCTCATTCACCAGCTCTTCCCTGACCCAGGCCTCCTGTCTGTCACCAAGCTGTCGCCTCATGTGCTATCAACCACCACTCGTCACTCGCCACCCGAGACCCTGGGACTGCACCCGACGTCTGTGCACCACGGGCGGATCAGACACGCCGTCTGGCGGTCCTGCACCGTGCACGGCGTCGCTCTGTCTCCCACGGCTCACCGCGAGATGCATGGTGTGAGCACCGGCAGCCGAAACTGCCACCGTCGCTCTCAGCGCGACGTCATCGAGGTAGTCGCGTCTGATGTCGCCGAAAGCGACGAAGACGAGCCGACTACGACGCTCGGCGTCGCGTTGGTTACTGGAGCGATATATGATGGCAAAGATAAGGCAGGCTGCGTCGTGTCGCGCACAGTGTATATAAATAGTGTCGCGCTGCGCTGCGTCGCGTTGTTGTCCAGGAAAGGAGGGGCTCTGGCAGGGCGATGTGTCTTCACCTGTTGTGAGGGGCGATAGGTGATGTGTCTTCACGGTTGGAGGTGTGTTGCGCCGCTGCCGCCGCTGCTGTGGTGTGGGATGACGAGGCTCTCAGGTGACGACTCGCCGTTGGAGTGTTGTGTGGGACCGTGGACACCAGTGATCCGTATTTGGAGGCGCGTGGGTCCTCCAGGCGCGTTGTGAAACTATTGTCAGCGCCGGGAAGAATAATGGCTGGCACCGTTCTTTGTCGGCCGGCTAGAATTATGAATTTTCCAGTATTGATGACACTCTTCTGTCACTGCTGATGGCTCCCATTTGATGTCTGCGAAGTTCTGTGAGGCGTAACTTTCGACTAAACCGCCGACGCTTGGCGCAGAGGCGTGCCATATCTACATCTCTCGTTTGTTACCGTAACGGCGCCAGTGTTTCACCTTTATGACACGGGGGAGATCGGGGCGATACTGCCCAGCGCTGCACGGCGCCCAGCCGTGACGGCTCGGCTGTCTCTGTCACAGTGTGACGGTCGTGACGCGCCGGTGACATTTGTGGCGCCGCGGCGCACCTCCAACCGGCCCGCTCTGGCCGCTCTGTGCCACTCTGACGCCTTCGCTTGGAGATAGGGCGATGCTACCTTGTGCGACCTACGTATGTGTGATGTTGGTGACTTTGCTGTAACGATTTTCCCCTTATTGTGTTTCAGAGGAGATCACTGCCTCGTTCCGTCGGTTCGGCCCTCTGGTGGTCGACTGGCCGCACAAGGCTGAGTCGAAGAGCTACTTCCCGCCCAAGGGATACGCCTTCCTGCTATTCCAGGTATGTTGGGAATGTTCCATAAGCGCGTCAGGGCAGGGGAGCGGAGGGGGCATTCCTCGTGCACAGCTGCATAATGTCCAATGCTATGTGGTAGGTATGTGTTGGCCTGCTGTTATACGCTCATTTGCAACTTTGAATATGTATGATTTAGCAGAGTGGGTCATACTGTGGGGCAGATTCGTCGTGGTAACTGTGCGGTGCATGCATTAAACCGTTGTTTCCCTCGGCAACACAGCGTTGCGTCATGACTGGATTTAAATGCTCGGCTTATCGCCTTTTTTGTCCAATCCAAAGCCGTTTGTGGCTGTGGGATTGTTATTCGTGCCTGCTCCATGAACAGTGAACACCACTTGGCATTTTGTCCAACCGATTTTTTGTCCAACCGCCAGAGTGTTTAGCTGACATGTTATTTGCTTGCAACACTCATTCACTCCCTCCTATTCTCGACGAGTATGCGCGTCACCGTCAATATAATCCATTTTTAGCATTAACCCATTTATGCCCAGGAATATTGACCATCATGAAAATCGATGAAATCAAGATATGTTACGCTTCTACCAGGGCCTTGCATGGAATCGAAAATAATTTTTGCCGGCAGCAAAAGTTTTTCGAGAAAAACGTAAAAAACGTGCGTTGCGAAATCGCAACGAAGGGCACACCGGGCGCCATCAGCGTTGCGAAAACGCAACGACGGGCACATCAGACGGACATAAAGTGCACTAAACCGCCGTATATGCTAGTTTGTTTTAACATATATTTCACCAACTTTTGAAAAATATTGCTTGAGAATGCGGAACCCACATCCCTCATGCTTATTACCCGCCTAAGAGCCTCAATGAGGGAGCATAACTTAAGGGTTCGCGAACGGGGAGATGGCAACAAACGGTCATTATCAACAACAATTGTCCATTTAAAGTACCTAGTGGTCGGCACGTACCCTGGGCGGTGCTTTCTTTTTGGAAGTTAGACAGAGCCATTAGCCCATTACCCTCTCATATGAGAACCCCAAACTGAAAACAATTTAACCGAGGATTGGGAGTCAACCAGTGCCTCGCCTAAGCGCCTATCCGCAATACCATTGTTAACCACCCTCCTAGGAGTAAAGACAAATTCAAATGCGGGGTAGTCGTGCACACTCTTATAAAAAAATGAACCTATCCGGCTTTCACAAATTACCTGCGTAAGGCGTAGAGCGTCATAACAACTCGGCTTTAAGTGTCTCCCAGGACCCATTTTATCACTTTTACACCTAATCCAAAATTTTCATTGTCCCACTCTCAGCGACCTTCACACTTGTAACCTCTTTCTCGAGACAATGCCAGGGCAGACTGGTGATTCGACGCAGTTCACACTTTCCAAGTATTTCGTCAATCCGTTCTTTCCATCTTCAGGATAGTAGAATCCTTCTCCATGCCTCAACCCTTTGTTTCGAGCTGGACGGGCAACTAGGTACATCGCATTCGAGCAGCTCCCATAGGAGCACAGATCTGTAGCCGGATACAGAAAGTGCTTGGGAAGGGGGGGGGGGTCCGGTTCATGGGTGGCCTGGATGGATGGGCTCAGCCTCGACGATTCACCATGCCCGCTCAGACCAATGTTTTCCCTAATTCCAATAATGCTTCTAGCTCTAAAATGGTCTGATTAGACAAAAGGCCTACCCTCAGTAAACAAACAAGCAATGCTTCACATCAACCACCTTATCAATCCGTGCAAACCATGAATTCTAAAAATAAACTATTATTTTCCAGACGCCCTCATCACTCCTGCCGAAGGGGTCTGTTGCCCCCGAGGGGGCATATCCCACATTTGCCGCTTCTGGGAGTTATCTTTTCTAACGTAAGGGCCAGCGGATTGCATCCAGAGAATGACAATGCCTATCTGTCGTCTGATACCTGACTACGTCCCCATTATTTAGTACATAGTAGATCCAATTTTCAAAGTACCTCGCTATCTCTCAGCTCCGTTAGCATCGCCGACCGTTTGATGCAGGTCCTTTTCCTACCATGCGATTTTCAGATGCTCGAAAACCCATTGCAGTTAGTGAACAGCCCAATAATCTGCGAGAGAAAAAGAAGTGAGTGTTTGATAACTGTTAAGTGAGTTAATGTGAAACGTGTCGCAACATTCACGTGCAAATGCACCTTGCACTTTACATACCTACACGTCCCTCACGACTGCAAAACGAGAGAGAGAGAGAGAGAGAGAGAGAGAGAGAGAGAGAGAGAGAGAGAGAGAGAGAGAGAGAGAGAGAGAGAGAGAGAGAGAGAGAGAGGGGGGGAGGGAGGAGAGAGGGAGGGAAGGAGAGAGAGTTGGGGGAAGCGTGGAAGAGAGGGAGGAAGATTGGGGAGAGAAGGAAAGAACCCACAAGCGTATCTCAAGTGAAGTCTATTTGATGTTCCTATACTTCCGCTGCACTGCCAATTTGCCCCTTGTTGCGTTTTCGCAACACCCCTGTCTTTCCGATGTGCCCAACGTTGCGTTACCGCAACACGACTGTAGTCATATTTGAAAATAGTCACAAACCCTATTTGCAGCATAATTTGTTAATAAAATGTATATTCTAGCTATTGTAGGGACTCTGCAGAATATGTTCACACATTATTCATTACGATATAATCAAATCACTTAATCTACTTATTTTGGTTTTCGTGACGTCATCACTGACTGGGACCTTCGACTTCCCTCTGGGAGCTCTGGACGGTAAGTTACCGGCCGCACAGACTTGTAACTGCGTAGCATTATGCGCGGATCCATGCTAAACGCGCTGAAACTTGTCTCATCGGTGAGACGCCATTATACACTTCTCAAGATTTGATCACGTCGACGCTTGCTTGTGTTGCGAAAACGCAACGAAGGGCGTAAATGGGTTAAACTTATCGGCCGCTGCATGAATGGCATCGACGACAACGGTCTGGACCCCTTCCTTCAACCATGCCCTGTGTGCATGCAAGCCAGAAAACTGAGTGTTGCACCATAATGTTCCCATCTCTGAGTCATCATCCTGTCTCAAACCGCAATCTGCAACTGCTACCGCATACGCGGCCCCGTCTCGTCCCTAAGGCCGTAACATCCTGCCTCGTCACAGCTTCCAGAAGGTATCGGCCCCAGAGGCTGCCTGGTCAGTAATCTCTGCGGGCTGCGCATTAGCCCAGGGTCACCCCCGGGCCCCCAGTGACCGGGTCAGGGGGAGGGGTGTGCGCCGGGCCTCCACCATCTGTGCCAACAGTCAGCTCTGTGCGCGCCTGTGTGCGCGGCTGCGTGGCCGAGTGTGAGGCGCCGTTCTTGGGCCGGTAATGGCGGCGGGCCAGGTGTGCCACCGTGCTGCCGGCAGCTGTGGCGCCGCTGTGACAAGCGGCGCACCGGCCGCCGCGCCGCGCCGCGCCGTCGATCGATCGGCGCTGTCACACTGACCCAGCGGCGGCGGCGGCGGCGGCGGCCGATCGGCCCGTATAGACCGACTCGCCGCTACCGACGGGCTGGGAACTCAGCCCAGTGCGGACCGGGGGTCCTGTCCGCCTGTCTACCTGTCCTGTCCTGTCCGTCTGTCCTGTCCGGCCGCCGCACAGTCCGGACCAGACTGCCCCCAGCCGGCCAGTCAGCCAGCGGGCCGGACGAACCGGGCTCAGCCGGCCGGTTGGCATGCATCATGAACGGTGCCTGTAAGCGGCTCACGGCTCCGGGCCCGCCCGGCGACAGACTTATGAGACAATATACCGTTGTCGGTGATGACGTCCGGCGCCGGGCTCGGGACTTATGCAACGCGTCACGCCGGCCGCCCCGCTGTCAGTCGCCGGGCCGGCCTCTATGCCGGGTATTGACGAGGGAGTGACACCCGTTCCGGACCATGTAACTGATCAGTTTTGGATGAGCCCAGGTGATCGGTTTTGGACGAGCCCAGGTGTGGACGCCAAATCGATGAGCCATGTGGTGAAGCGAGGGGGGCTCTAAGTATGGTGATGCATGCAACCGTGTCACGGGTTGACCCAGTGGCCTACTTATGGGCGGGGTGCACGGGGCTGTGGATGTCACCGGCTACCTGGGACATGTGTTAGTGAGACTCATGTGATGTCCTGGGGACCCCACCAGATGCCATCTCTCGTGACGCCTAAATTCATTTTAGATCTTCAACATCTTGGCATTTTCTCTTCCATTTTCCCTTTCCATTTGTCATTCTCTGCCACTCCTTCACAGTAAATCGGTCACATTGACTTTAAGCCTTTTTTGTCTTCACAATGCTCTCATTATTTAGACGTGTCTGCCGTCCCCAAAGTTAACACTGTGGTAGTACTCAATCCCAGTTAGCCGTCGAGTGATCCTTTCGCCCAGTCCGGTCACTGGGCACCACATGAGCCCCGGCCCGGGTCGCCAGGTCCCTGCCGTGCGGCGGGGGCCACCACCTCTCTCTCTCTCCCGGGGCCGGGACATTGACTGTGGGCTGCAGAGGCGGGCGTAATTGGTCTGTTGTTGGCCGCGCCGGTGGCCCATTTGTAACGATCAGCCGCCGCCGCCCCCGCCAGCCAGTGTCGCCCAGGGTGCTACCTGGAGTCTGCCCCCCCCCCCCCCCTCCTACAAAAACCTCGCAGACAGCGCGGCGCTGCAGCAGCCCCGCAAAACCTCCGAGATGAGTTGGAGCGAGCCTCCCAGCCGGCATTTCTCGAGTCTGTGGTCGCGGTGGGGAATTTAATGAGACGCTGCCGCGCCGTGGTGCGGGGGAGCACAGCTTTTCTAGCACGGCTTCTTGTGGCAGGAGTCAGCTGCGAGGCAAAATGACACGTCAGGTGGTGCGTTACGCCAGAGTGTTATTGGAAACGTGCAGACAAATTGTGCAATATCCGCTCGGTGGAGGTGTTGCTTGTCCCTGGGTCTGGGTGGGTTACTATCGGTGTCAGAGCGTGAGCCTGTCACCGCAGCACTCTGCGTAGTCGACTGTGATCAAAGGGCACTCCAGCGTGGCTCGATAGGGCTGGAGACCGGAGCTGTTAGAGGATCAGTCCCTCCCACGGAGGTCCGCCAAAGCTTACCACCAGAGGCACCGCGAGCTAGTGGCTCTCACAGCCTACTCAGCACCACCCTCAAACTCCTTGCCGTTTATTGATTCCGTTCTGGCATCTACTACCGAACACTTAGCCCAGTGCCCTTGTAACCGGTAACCACGACGTTTGACCCTACATTTACCGTCTCTGACCTCTGACCCTTCACCTGCCGTCTGACCTTTGACCGTAGGGTCAGAGACGCACCTGCTGTCTCTGACCCTACACCTACCGCCTCTGACCCTACACCTGCCGCCTCTGACCTCTGACCTGTGTGCCTCCAGGACGAGAGCTCCGTGCAGCAGCTGATCGACACGTGCATCCAGGACGACGACAAGCTCTACCTGTGCGTCTCGTCGCCGACCATCAAGGACAAGCCGGTGCAGATCCGGCCGTGGAAGCTCTCCGACGCCGACTTTGTGCTGGACGCCTCGCTGCCGCTCGACCCGCGGAAGACGGTGTTCGTCGGTGGCGTTCCCCGTCCGCTGAAGGCCGGTACGTACCCTGCCCTGCTCTGTAAGTTAAGCAATCTTTGTCCTTCCCTGTTCTACATACTTCCCAGTTCCTTCCCTGTTGTAGTTGGGGAGGGGCTGAAAGTATGTGTCAGTCGGACCCCCGCGGAGAGTGTCATCAGAGCCAGCCTCCCCGGCCGGTGGCGGTGGTCGCCGGTTCCCCCCAGACGCGCTGAGATGAGCGATGAAGGCTGCTTACCGCCCCGCCGACGTCTCTGCCGCCCCCGCGCGGCGCCCAGCGTCGTTATCGGCCCCGCGGTGGTGGCGGCGGCGGACAGAGACTGATGGAGAGAGAGAGGAGAGGATAGTGGTGATGCTGGTGGTAGTGTATTGCTCTGGGACACTGCAGGAAGGGGCGGCGGCGCTGGATTTAGAGCTGCATCCGCTGAGCCGCCGCCGGCCGGCGGGTTGTCAATAGTTTCCTGTTTAGCGGCCCTTTAACCGACGTCACTGCCGCCCCTCCCCGCTCGGTCCCCTTTGTCCTCAGTGACCCGACGAGTGCCGTCTGCATACGCATTACCATTTACCACCTCTGACTAGAGCTGGTCGGCTTTAACGCCCGGCTTCTCTGACTCCGGTCGGCCGATTAGCGTTCGCTGTCGGCTGACACCCGCTCCGAGCGCTGGACACCGACCTCTCGGGCCGATCCGCTTCCCGCTCGACCTCGCGCCGCGAGTGTGACCCCGGCGCGGCGCGGCGGTGCGCAAATTTCGGCCCTGTTTCCGATGGCATATCGGTGGCCGATTTGCGGCCGGTCGTCTGCCGTTAGCGGTAATGCGTCGGTCCTTATGCGGCATGCAAATGACGGTCGGGAGGCACGTGTCTCGCGGTGTATCGCCGCACTGGGCTGGACCGGTGACCGGGGCAACAGCCGACCGACCGACCGACCGACCGACCGACCGACCGACCGACCGACCGACCGGCTGAGGACAGTTTCGGCAGCGGGCGTCACTGACCGCCGCAGGCGACAGAAACTAATGAGACCACTGAACGCGGTCGGGCCGCCTGTCAAACGCGGCGCCTGTGCGCGGTCCATTAGTGCCAGTATCGGCCGCGCTGCGCGCTCGTCGCCGCCGGCGTGCCGAACTCGGCGCCGGGTGACCGAGTTCGCAACTTCGACGGAATCGACGGCGGCTGTCGGTGTCGACGAGGACGACGGCCGCCGGCCGGCAGTTCGTCTGGATTGGTTCGTGATGCAGTTCGGGTGGGGATGGAGGGAGGGGTGGTGGGCTCCAGCCGGCGGCGACACGATGGATTGTATTAAAATCGCCCGGATGGAGGACGGGTGGCGCAACACATCCGACGTCGAGGGGCGCGGGGTGGCGGGGGCGCCAGCAGAGCGCAGGGCGGCGGTTAGTCAGGGGCTGGCGCACAGAGCCGGGTGGTACGGGACGGGGTGGCATGGGGGCCCGGGTGGAACAGGACGGGGATGACATAGCATAGGGGCCCGGCTGGTGCAAGGGTCGGAGTGGCGCAGAACTGCGTCGGATTGGCGCAGCAGTGGGGTGGTGGGAAGCACGAGGGAAAGCACAGGGGCCTGGCTGGAGGGTCAGGGTGACACAGGGCAGGGTAGAATGCCGCCTGATGCTGGCTCAGGGTGGCACCGAGGGCTGCTGGGGTGCGGTGACCTAGCCGCTGGGATATCGTGAATCCTCACCGCGCCCAGGGCTGGATTGGCGAGTCTGAATCACGCCCGTGTTGCGACACGCCTGGCGGGGCAGTTTGTACCGGCTCCCAGCGAAACAATGCGCTCGTATCGTACGCTCGACCGCCGGGATGCCGGCGTTTAAGCGCTGATGTTTGCGCGGCGGTGTATTATGGCATGTTGCATAACCCTCGCAGAGGACGGGTTGCGTAAACAGTGGTTAGGACGGCTATTATGACGTACTGATAGACTGACAGAATGGCGGGTAATTTAGCGCATCCGGTGAAATGCGGGACCTGTTTGGGGTTTTTACGATTGAATGCATCGCTCGACCTTCTATTCCATCTGTCGATGCTTTGTTTACTGGGGGCGTGTGCGCATCATCATGTGATGTTTTTGTCTCAATCCGCAGTGAAACTGTACGCATCATACTGGGCTATATTGGGCAGTGCGCACAGCGAAGCACTAACCTATCGTCAGGTTTACCTTGTTAAATTCGACAATATACCTTGGTAATTGGTATATCGTGACCGGAACGGGCATTGTCTATGGAAAGATAGCAGTGTGGGCTGTTTTACGTTGACGAAACGAACCAGCCTGACCTGACCTGACTTGACCTGAACTGATCTGACTAGTGCATATCCTTCTGTCCCCAGTGGAGCTGGTCGTGCTCATACGGCGGAGTGTGACCTGACCTGACCTGACCTGACCTGACCTCTGTCCTCCAGTGGAGCTGGCGATGATCATGGACCGCCTGTGCTGTGACCTGACCTGACCTGACCTGACCTTCTCTCCCGCAGTGGAGCTGGCGATGATCATGGACCGCCTGTGCTGTGACCTGACCTGACCTGACCTCTGTCCTCCAGTGGAGCTGGCGATGATCATGGACCGCCTGTGCTGTGACCTGACCTGACCTGACCTCTTTCCTCCCGCAGTGGAGCTGGCGATGATCATGGACCGCCTGTGCTGTGACCTGACCTGACCTGACCTGACCTTCTCTCCCGCAGTGGAGCTGGCGATGATCATGGACCGCCTGTACGGCAGCGTGTGACCTGACCTGACCTCTCTGTCCTCCCCCAGTGGAGCTGGCGATGATCATGGACCTCCTGTACGGCGGCGTGTGACCTGACCTGACCTGACCTCTGCCCCCAGTGGAGCTGGCGATGATCATGGACCACATGTGCTGTGACCTGACCTGACCTGACCTCTGTCCTCCCACAGTGGAGCTGGCGATGATCATGGACCGCCTGTGCTGTGACCTGACCTGACCTCTGCCCCGCAGTGGAGCTGGCGATGATCATGGACCGTCTGTATGGCGGCGTGTGTTACGCTGGCATTGACACGGACCCGGAGCTCAAGTACCCGAAGGGCGCCGGCCGCGTGGCCTTCAGTAACCAGCAGAGCTACATCGCCGCTATCAGCGCGCGCTTCGTGCAGCTGCAGCACGGCGACATCGACAAACGGGTCAGTTGGGCGGGGTCACCCTGGGTCACCCCGGGTCAGTGGTGGGTCAGCGGGGTCACAGAGTCGGGTGGGCAGGGTCACAGGAGAGGGGTCAGTGGCGGGGTCACAGAGTCAGGTGGGCAGGGTCACGGGAGGGCTCCGACGGGTCATTGTCTGGGGACTGCTAGGACTAACTGGATAGCTAGATCGGGAACTATAGCTCGGACGGCTAGATCTGATGGCTAGATCTCACGACTAGCCGACCATACGGTTAGCCGATGCATAGAAGGTGGATTATAACTGAGTAGTGAGTACATACTAACTCCTCACTCTTGACCAGGTAACTCGTCAGACCTTGGCTCACGACTTGGTCCACTCTCCAACATCAATTAGCGATGTTCGAACACCAGGTGTCATGGCGACCGGCTCCTCCGCGGTGTATTGATCATTGCACACCGCCCCCCGGGGGTGAGCACGGCGGGCGGGGCGGGGTCGGTAGATACGCCCTGTGGACTATGGACGGGTGTGGCACGTCACATCGGTGGTTCCCGGGGTGGGGAGGGGTGGGTTCCACCGGGTAGCGTGGATGGGTTTTGTGTGGTTACTGGGGTTAGCACTAGAATGTGACTCGTTGACGCGTTATGGCCTGCTGTAGGCAAGGGGAGGAGGGCCAGGCGGCTGACTAGGTCGAGCTTGCTCATGTTCTGACATGTGACGTGTGATGTGTGACGTGTGACGTGTATTAGTCTGTTCTGACGCTATCGGTTTATTTATTTGCGCGTGTCTCGTTACTCAGCGGGTGCTATTCTTGATGCTATGTTCCTGGCAATTGGTACTACATGGTATTCACAATAGCTGTGGCCTGTGGTCGGGGGGTCTGTTTAAGCCACATCCATGTAAAGCCGCAAAACGGTCTGTTTGTATCTGCGGTCATGTAGTAGTTTCCTGTCTTGTCTTACCCCGGTCTCCGGCCCAACCCCATGCTTAGGGTGCACAACCTAGCTGCTCTCATTAGTGCCCCTCCCCTTCCAGAGTAAATTATTCAGAATTGTGTTCTCACAGTCTTGTTCCGTTCGTAAACCAGCGCAGTTTGTGCCATCCCCTCCCTCTGTTCCTAACTGCGCCTTTGAGAACCTTCCCAGTTCCCATGATAACTCGCCTAGCTCCCCCTGTCCGTGCCTGGCGGCGCCTCTGACCATCGCCCGTTTCTCTTCCCAGGTGGAGGTGAAGCCCTACGTGCTCGATGACCAGATGTGCGACGAGTGCCAGGGCACGCGCTGTGCCGGCAAGTTTGCGCCCTTCTTCTGCGCCAACGTCACCTGTCTCCAGGTGAGAGAGCGGACAGAGGGAGGGAGAGAGAGAGAGAGAGAGAGAGGGGGGGGGGGGAGAGGAGTGTGGGTAGGCTCCACAGAGTTCTGCCCTGCTTAGAGGCCCAGAGATATTAATGTAGACTGGGAGGGCAGAGTAACATAACATCCCCTGCGTAGGGGTCATGAGCTCAATGGAGCTATCACAACGTTGAACGTGAATACTCGATTTGTTTGTTGAGGCATATTTTTGCTGATAACGGTATCGGAGTATTGTAGTGGGTTTGTTTTCCTCAGCTTTGCGCATTGTTGAGCTCATGTTTCCTGTTTGGAGAAGCTAGATAGGCTTTGTGCGGATAAAAATAGCATCGAGAGGCTCGAGAGCTATTGATTTTGTTCCACTCATTCAGTCATGAGTCCAGTGATAGGGTCATGGATGGGCGCACTGTGTCGCCCTCTATATCGCCCGCCCTATCCCTCCCTTCCCCGTTTCATGATCTGACTGTGCGTGTCCTGTGTCTGTCTGTTCCAGTACTACTGTGAGCACTGCTGGGCCACCATCCACTCCCGGCCGGGCCGCGAGTTCCACAAACCGCTGGTGAAGGAGGGGGCCGACCGGCCGCGCGCCGTCCCCTACCGCTGGTGCTAGGTGGCGCCACTGAGCCGCCGGCCAGAGGGCGCCCGCAGCGGCGGCCTGGCAGCACCGGCTAGTAGCTACTAGATCTAGCTACCAGCGGCTCGACTGGCGCCGGTAGTCAGCGACTGGCCGGGAGTCCGACCTGGCTCCGGCCGACAGTCGCCGCTTCTCTCTCTATCCTCGTATATCGCCTTCCTCCCCACTCTCTCCTGTTCTCCTCCTGTCCTCTGCACACCTCTGTCCCGTCTCCACTGCTCTGTCCAAAGCCCGTTGGCTCTCGCTCTCTTTCTCCTCTGCTCGTTAGAATAGACGTGTGTGCAGTTTTTCGGATGCGTGATCCGTGCCATAGTCGAGCAGGCGCGGACGGCGGCGCGGCGGGCTCCCGGCGGCGCGGCGGTGGCGGCGGCGCCATGTCCATTGACGTTTTATACATATATCTGTGACATATTACATAGTAGTTGTAGCAGCCAGGTAAGGTCCTGCCAGCGCTATTTCAGGCCGGCCGACACTTTGGATACCATTTTTTACCTTTTCACCGTTTTTGTATCGTCGCAATTGTAAATAGATTATGTACAAATCGCCGATATTTATACATCACTACGTGGGATTGAAATCGCATAGTTCCTCCTCCTTATTTTTGGGGTGGCGTTGTTTTGTATATGACGATGGCGCCGCGCGCGCTGGCCGCCCGGAGCGGCGTCCTGCTCCGCTTATCAATGTGACCGTGTTTTTACTGAGCCAACCGGCCGCCCCCGCCCCGCCGCCGCCGCCGCCGCCGCCGCCGCCCCCGCCGCCAGCGGCGTGGTCCTCGGCCCCGCCGCCGAGACCACGCCCCCGGCCGCGCGCCGCCGCCGTTTTCTATATTTATCCTCAATATTTGAAGTCAAGGGTCTGGGAATGGGGTATTGCCGCCGCGCGCGGTCAGAATTGTATAGTAGGAGGTTCATGTGATAACTGTATTTATCCCTTATTGTGATTCAATCTAATTTATGCAATTAATTTTCTAGTTCAGACATTTATAATTTTCGCATGTTATCATCATTTAACCAGTGAAGTGTAGCCGTAGTAATTCTCCCAGACTCGGTGCGTAATCTGTGTGCGTGTGACAGCTGCAGGTGGCCGCTGACGGCTCTGCGCGGGCGAGCGCGTTCAGTAGACGTGTTACGGCGTGACGTCACGTCAGTGTGATTGGCTAGATGTGATTGGCACGCGCCGCGCGGTCGGGCCGCCACGGCGGCCGCCGCCGCCCACCTTTCTCCGATGCGGGTCAGCATGTCAAAAGCCGCGGGGAGCACGGCACGGCCGGGAATCAAAACGGCAGTCGGGTGGCGCGGCCGGGCCGATGGCGGTGTTCCCCGGCCGGCCGGCCGCTCGGACTGAGTCCGCCGGCCGGCCGGGGTCGCCGCCGCCGGCCCGGCCGCCTCTTGTTGGCTAGGTGTAGGCGTGTGTGCGTGTGTTTGCGGTGTGCGCGGTGAGACACCCCCAGAGCGACGTGAGCCCCCCTGTCACAGTTGAGAAGCTCCATAACCCGGACCGGCTGAAGTACCGTCGGCAGCGGCGCGGACAGCGAGTCGGACAGCGGGCGCAGAGCATAATGACGCCGTCGATCGAGAGAGCGCGGCCCGCCGGCCCGACCACCGCTGTAGCGCTGTCCGCTCGCCCCCGCCCACCCCTTGCCGAGACGCTTGTTTTCAGGGTAGCAATACGTGGGCATTAATTTGTAGTTTATTTTTCTACTAGTGCCACGCGCGCCGGTCGGTGCATCGCGTGCCGACCGGCCGCGCCCGCCCACCCCGCTCCCCTCCTGTGTCTGTGGCAGGCTCGCTCGCGCGCGCCGCGCGGCCCACTCGATAGCGGCCGTGCTCCCGCGCCCCGCCGTCCCTCTGCGTGATGTGCAACCCGAGGCGTAGCCGTTGGGTTTTGTACAAAAATTAAAGGTGTCATTCATTTATTTTCCTAGTCCAAGTACACTGCTAGCAGCATGGTTTTATAGTATGATTTTAGCAAATCGGAAGTGATTTTATAACGCTTCATAATTAGGGCGCCGCTCGTCGTGCGCGGCGGTGTGTGTGTCGTTGGCGCGCGCGCGCGCGTGTACGGCGGGCGGGCCAGCTGGTCAGCCGCCGCCGCCGCCGCCACCGCCCAGCGAGCGTTTGTATTTCCATAGACGTCGACCGTGTTGTCCGTTGTTATGTTCCCGGCGCCCGTTGTCGGCGGACCGGCGGGCCGCGGCCGCCCGCCCCCGTCCCCGTCCCCGCCCCGGCGCCCGCCGTCTGGTGTGCATTTTCAGTCAGCTTAGTTTGCGCGTCGTTTTGTAATTGCGGTTTTCTAATTTTGTAGCGGCGCGCGCCGGCGGCGGTCGCGGGCGCTGGCTCGCCGAGTCGCTCGCGGCCCGCCGTCGCTACCCATTACACCTGTTCTGGGGACAGTTTACAGTTATTTTGTTGTGTCAGACGTTTTTATGTTTTGATAAATAATTACATAAATATCACAAGAGACAAGTGTTTTTGTCTGGTGGTGACGTGATGTGCTGGCGGCGAGAGAATGGATGAAGACTATGACGGCTGACAGTGGATCTTCTTGGGCGGGTGGGATACATACGACGGCTGGCCAATCCTAGCATGGCTGACGGCTGTGGCTTTCGGTGAAACAGTTGAGCGTGTAGCAATCGACAACTGTGGGAGCAATAGACTGCGGTACGAGTGCTCAGTCTGCGACAATGCGGCGGACAACTGTAAGCCGGACCCGCACTTGCCAATAAATCAGTACCAGCACCGAGCCGATAGAACTGACGCGTCACTTACTGATCGATTTTAATTCACACTTCTTGTGTGGGCCCATTCTCTGCTCTTGCGACTTTGGGCGAACGATGCGCATATCTACATGCATATGACGACCGAAGAGTTTTATGCTTTTTCCTGCGGCGCACACCAAACTTGAACAATGTAGGTAGGTAACAGCAAAACTGAGAGCAAACCATTTATATAACGCCTGTCAGGGCGAAGTAAGGCACACGGTTCAGTAGGTACTCAGTAGTGACGGAAGTCAAGATCTAACGACTTTATATTACATGCATGAGCCTGTTCTTGGGCTCTATCTGTTCCACATTAGCAAATGCTTAGCTAATTTCGGAATCATGCAATGAAAAGTTTTTAACATGAATAAACTTGCATTAATTCAAACATAATCATACGAACAAACGATACTCGCTCCGTCCCACGCCTCCCACCCCACCACGCCTCCTCTCCTCCCCTCCAGTCGCCACGTCTTCGTCCAGCTCAGCAGATTCTGCGTCGGTAAGCGCCGCCAGTCGCCTGAGGCGCCAGTTTACGGGAGGCGTCCCCACGGTTTATGGGCCCGCCACGAGCGCGCCGGGCTATCACCGCCGCCGACTAAGCTGTCGAGATGAAAGCGCTGCGACCGCAGCTCGCCAGCAAGCTGCGTTTGACGCGCCGAGCCGCTGCCAGCTGGGCGTAACACGTTTTTAGTGGAGAGAGCTCGGCCAAATTGGAAAACCAGCTCGAAAAATACCGGCCCATCTAAGAAAAGCGAAACATTCCAACCATTTCAACGTAACATTTCTTGCACATGTTGCATGATCTTCAAGAATGCAACACATCCTCCCTACCAGACGCTTTCTCATGTCGCAATGCCGGACACCAGTCTCCAGAAATTTGGTGCTAAAACTCACTCTTTCGCCATATCAACCGCATCCACAGAAAACGTTTGTATTTGAAACTGGCAACCCTGCGAGATGAACATGATAAGTGTGGCACCACAACACGGCATATCACAAATCTGGCAGCCCCGACAGTGCCGGGTCGGGTACAGCGTCACGGAACGTGGTAGGGAGCCGTCACGGAGCGTGTCACGTCGATCATCACGAAACGTGTCACGGCGATCGTCACGGCCGACACATCCGGTCGGTTGGATAGTTAAATGTGGTGTCTAGCTTACACGGGAATGCCTTTTCGCGCGTACAGGGGGAATGCCAAGCCCACGCAGTGGGCACTAGGCAGCCACAGGCTGGAATGTCATCCATCGGCCCCGTCCGCGTTCGAAAATGATCGTTCAACACACAACAAACGAACTCCACAACCGCGGCGGTCGACACAGGCGCGATCAGTCACTGACAATATCAGTATGGTTAGCACAGCGTTCCATTAGCCCAGCGTCAGCCCCAGTAAGCCCAAATGCCCAGCAGGCTCGCCCGATGCCCAAAACCTCGCTCCTTTGTATTGATTATCGGTGGCACCGTCCCGCGGACAGCCCTTTAGAATCCCCGCCGTACCAATGGTCTCCTCCTGCCGGTGGCGGGTTGATCCGTCGCCAGATCTCGCCTCTAACTTATCACGCCACTGAGCAGCGGTAAAACACGGCACCCTCCCTTGCCACAATCTTTCCTCATCTCTCCCTGTCTTCAGCACCCTCGCCCGCGTCCCACATCCTCTCTCCCGCTCCAGAGACCAACAACGACCACTGGCTTCTCTCCTGGGATCAGTGGCCGGCGACTCACTCACCCAGTGTGCTCAGAAAAGCCTGTAGTTCCTTCACCTGGGCGGTCAGCCGCTCCTTCAGGGTGTGGTTGGTCGTCTTGGCAAGTTTGTCTTTCATCACCTGAGGGGTCAGAGACGGGCATAGGTTAGCCGGCGCAGAACCGGCTATATTCGGCAAGTGGTTGCTGAATCCTGTCTGACATGCTTATTTAGCACAATCAATGAGAGCACAGAAAGTGCCCACAGTCTTTCCAACCAGAGCTTGGCGAAACTTCGAACAAGGCAAACATCAACTACTGAAATATAGACATCAGAATGCTTTAACCACCCGATGAACGTTTGCATTACAAAATGCAGCAATTCAAAAGTTACAGTATCGTTTTGGCATGGCGTCCGGGATAACTTTAGAGTATGATGACACAAATGATCACAACGTACGCGTTTCTTCAAAAAGGCATTTATGTCAGATCAGGGTCCAGCGAATGTAAGAGCATATAAGCACCGGTTCAACGCCCGCCAAAATAGGCGAAAGATAATCGGATATAGCCGGAACAAACCAGATGAAATCATACAAAAAGGAAAGAAAAAAGAAACTGGTAGCTTATCTCGACTCACGGACCCAAAACACGCCCCCGAGGACCGAGGAGACACATGGAACGTGTCTCACGTCTCATACTGATATATTCTGAATAGGTTACTAGTCGGAACAGGAATGCCTCCAGCGACTCCTTCCAGACTGCTACTCTGCGAGGTTAGCTCTAGCGAAGTCTACTTTATCAAAGTACCATGTAACCCTACCAGCCGTTCAAACGGTGCCGGATCTGGGAGCCGCGGGGGGCAGCCTCGCGGTGCCCGCGGCACTGGGAACCGACTATTTTAACTGGGCGCCCAGCTGAGCCGGGGACTGCCGGGGCGGGACGGCCCACCGCCCGGCACCTGTGGTCTGGGCGAATGTCCGGGTGTGCGGGGTACGATAGGTACGGGTGACATCTTCCACCACCTGTGACAGGGGACTGAATTTTTACCTAACAACTCAGTGTGGGGGTGACACCGGGGTCTGACGTGTAAGGCGTATGCGTGTTGTTCGTCAATCTCACGGGCCAATCCTGCCTTCCTTCACATAGCGACACTCTGCGTGCCTTCACCACTACGTCCGTGTGTTTTGCCGCCTCTGTTCTCACCTGTATGTTGACCCTGCAGCCGGGAACGTTGTGCAGTATCCGGATGTGCTTGTCGCCAGTCGTCAGCAGGTAGCGACTGGTCGGATCGAACAGCATACAGGTGATCGGACCTGTCGAGACGGGGGACGGCGCGGTCAGTGATGGTACACAACGAGCGGCGCATTCATGTTAAAAGAAGTATAAACGACGACTTTTGACGAAAACCTCGAGTTCGGCGAACACAAATGTCAGTTACGCCATGATAGTCATATACAAAATATCAGTAGATAGAGAAACCAGTGAGACAGCCGCCCAGTAATGGACGACTGAGGTTCGGGGGGGGGGGGGCGAGCATTAGATGGGAAGGATCAAGGAAATATAATATATCGTTATAAGTCAGAGCAGCACGCTGCGAACTGTATTCACAAGAGTAGGGGGAATCAGTGATGGGCGCTCAAATGACGATGGGTGCGAGGGGTGGTATACTGTGACAAATCACCATCCTCTGGCGTCTCGGGTCCCTGCAGCCAACTACAGCAGAGGCAGGGCTCCCTGCTGACCCACTTGCCCAACATACTATCCGGCCTCCCGCGGCGCACGACCCCACTCCCCACCCTGCCCACAATCCGGGGCACACGCTGTCCCTTCCCATCCCATGCTGCTCCTCTCCACTCACTACTGTGCAGCGCCGCGAGCGTGGCCATCATGTCTCCGGTCTCTGCCGAGAAGAGTTGGACGTCCGAGCGGGCGCCGACGGCCACCGTACAGCCGTCGGGGGAGAGGGCCACGCGTGAGGCCGGGCCCGACTCTCCGCCGCCGCAGGGAGCCGACTGGATCAGCTGCGGATCCTGACCGATCCGGTACTCGACTGTGTGGGAGGAGGGGGCTGCGTCAGTCGGGAGGTCCTGGCTGGTACGATGCTTTATAGCAGCAGTGGGAGATGTGTCGATTGAAGCCAGCAGTTGTGAGTGGCTCCCGATTAGAAACTCCGATTAGAATAAAGACAAAAAGTTGCCAGATCTGTACTCTACAGCTGTAAGGGAGTTGCTCTCCCAACCAAGGCATTAGACCATTTGCTTAAACCTACTACTTAATGAAAAGGAAATACCGGGACCCGGGGGCCTTGTGCACGAACCGCAGTAAGACAACGCACTGAGACGCCACACAACGCCAACTACTATCCACACAAAAATCGCGGCGAATGACAATACATCGACAATATTAGCTGCAAAAGGACGCAACATGTGTCAAACATAAGCAACAGCTGTTCTAATGACATGCATCCCAATCGTCTTATCGTATAGTGAATGGGTTTCAGGACGCCTCGGCCGGCGACAAAGACCATTTGGCGCACCCAATCGTCTTAGTTATGAAATCTGGTTATATTATTCACTGGCATCACAGTAAGCAGCTATCGGCGTCATACTACATACCCCTCGGCCCACCCGTGCAACTGACCGTTGGTGTTGAAGAGCTTCCAGGTGCCGTCTCGGCTCACGGTCACCATGCGGAAGCTGTCGGGGGTGGCGCTGAGGTCCAGCACGCCAGACGTGTGGCCCTTCAGCTCGAACGCCCGGCTCAGCTTGTCAAAGTCGCCCGAGCGCGTGAAGGCCACCTCCCACACCTTGACGTCCGGCGTGAACCCTGAGAGACGGACGGTGGTCAAAGGTAGGTAGGTGTAGCGACCAGAGGTGGAGCCCAGGAGAGGCCGGGCGTAAACACGTCATGCCATTAGAGCTACGAGCTTATCGGTCTTCACTTTCAATCGAATATCGCGAAATCATTCGACACATTATAGGATAACAATAAATCGCGAACTAACATCCAACCACAACTAATCGAGCGAGACCTTTCTATGCATGCGCGCAGCTACCGACCCCACGTCCTAGCCAATACATTTTTTTCATTAAAGAAATTACTACCCTTTCAATGGCTCTTTCAGACTTCCGTCACACACCACATAACCTTACCCTCCTACCATCTAACTCCACTGCCCTACCTCCATCCCCTCTGTCCCATCCTGTACCTGCCGACATGATGAAGCGTCCACAGGGCGATATGCGCGCGGCGTGCACGGGCGCCTGGCGGGTGTCGGTGGAGGCCAGGACGCCGCCACGCAGGTCAAACACGGTCAGACGGCCCCGCTCTGAGCAGCACATGACGTAGTGGCCGGCGCTGTGACGCTGCTCCGCCGAGCCGCCGTTACTGGAGATGCCACTGCCCACCAGCGGGTCGTCGTCCAGCTGCGGCCGAGACATAGGAGCGTCATTGTGGTGGATGGCAAATGACACAGGTCCATATAATAGGTGCAAGCTGCAAACAGTGCAAGAAGAACCAGTACTGTCAGTTGTCATAAACGGTAATACAGTTAGAAAATGTCTTTTGGTAAAGACAGCGTAAGTGGAGAAGGTATAAAAATGAGGAGATTTCACTACTCTTGAAAGCCGGATCTCCATTCTCCAATGCTTAGCTGATTTTACCCCCTCCCCTCCCATATTATCCTAACCTGATCGGCTTCGCCGTTCCTGATTTTCACTAACCTTTCGAAATCCACAAGCATTGTTCCAATTCATACACTCAGCAGCAGATTGCAGCCGCACAACTGCGAAAGGAACATTAGCCCTAGCAGCCATGTACCCAGCTCAGTCTGAGGCCCCAGTATCAGCTACTAGCCGGTGCTGCCAGGCTGCCGCCACAAGCGCCCTCTGGCCGGCGGCTCAGTGGCGCCACCTAGCACCAGCGGTAGGGGACGGCGCGCGGCCGGTCGGCCCCCTCCTTCACCAGCGGTTTGTGGAACTCGCGGCCCGGACGGGAGTGGATCGTGGCCCGGCCGGCCGACATCGCCATTTCTACGCTCACCTTATCGAACGTGACGGCCACCTGCGGGTTGCCGAGCGTGCCGTCCGACTTTTTGCTCAGCTTGTAGACCTGTAGCCGGTTCTCGTTGTGTTTGGCGCACAGCAGCGCATGGTTATCGGGACTCCAGCTCACGCCGGTGGCGTGGTCAAATTCGACGTTCACGCGCGTCGACTTGTGCTCCCGCTCAGAGAAATGGCGTGTCTGCCACAGCAGTACGCTCCGATCTGTCCTCAGAGTGGGGGGGGGGGGGGTGAACAAGTGGAGGTGGGCAGGGTGGTCAGCATTTGGGTTCCTATGATTTCTTATCATTCTTAGTGTTCAGATTTGGTGCACTTTGACCCTGAAGTGCAGAGATCAGGGACTTCAGTAAATACGCTGTCCACTATAATGGCATCAATACATGGTATTCAGAAGAGCTCAGGTGGCTCACTCTCACTATAACACCGTCTTACACTAACTCATGAAGAAAACCCAGTAGGTAACAATGATAAAAGTGGCTACCAATGCATGCATTTTTACCAGCACATTGTGACAGAAGACACTCACCCATGGAACATGATGCCAAATATTTGCCATTTGGACTGAAGCTCATGTCCAGAACATTGTCATTGTGACCCTTCAAGGAAGATAACAGCCAGGGGTGGCTGAACTTTGACTTGTTGTCTCGATGAGGAGGAACCTTGTCTGCCTTCTTCTTCGATTTGCTGACATTGGATGTCACTTTGTCAGCATCACCCTTGTCAAGTGGAACTGCAGGGAAAACTGTGATTAACATTGTGACCTTCAGTGATAAAAACAGTAAGTTCAAGTTAAAAGTAATGATGCAGTGTAAACAGCATACAAAACATCTAACCCGAACTCTCACACTGTTCCAAGCAGTCAGGCAACAATACAAGTTGTGACTGTAAATTGCAGTTTGAATTGTAATTGGATTGGTATTTGATACCAACCAATCCCAATTACAGGCACATCAGCTAATCCATTGCAATTGAGAATTAAATATTGATCTGAATCCAAATCTGTCAATACCTAACTGCTCACTTTTCAGTGTTTCAATGCTTAAAAATGTCTGAAATGGGTAAATATCAGGAGTGGAGAATTAGTTGTTTTGGGGGTGCTCGAGCACCCCCTGAAATCCAAGTCACCATATTATAGTGCTTCAGGGGTGCTTAAATTATGTCTAAGACACAAATTGCTTTGCATAAGCTGCAAGGAGAGTGATGCTGCTGGGAAAACGTGCCCAAAGGTGCTATTCCACGCACGGATTCGACACTTTCATTCGCCAGGTGGCAGAAAAGCACCCCCTGGGATTTTGACAATTCTCCGCCCCTGGTAAGTATTAAGTTCAAGACTTACCTGGGGGGTCATCCTGCTCCACAGGTGACACCGGTGACGCCTTCTTAGAAAAATATATAATTATCACAATTCCCGAGATGACCGTAATGAAGATTGGACTGAGAGCGAGGATTCCTGACACATCCATGATGTACACTTGGATTATTTTAGAGAACCAGTAAAGTTGCAATGCTTGTTCCTATTTTAATTTTTTATTTTTGCAAAAGAACCGCAGAATATATTCCAGAAATATCCAAAGAAATGGGCAGCTCCAATCCAAATCCAAATCCGTCAACGTCGAGCTCGCTCGTCGCCGGTGTTGTTTACGTGGGTGCGCCAGTCTTGCCGCTAAATGAAATATTTGTTCACTTTTTACGCTGTAAGCAATCGTCAGCGAAAAATGCCTTTACAGACGAATCAGCTCACTAGTTTTGCGAAACGACAAATCATTGTCAATTGCTTTCCTGACAACAGGACCAATTAAAAACTCACAGATCATACTAGCGGCATAGGGGCATTGGGCTGCTGATGATGCATGGGCAGTCTTTCAATCGGCGAAATATTTTGGACGAAGTATGGGAATGCATTTTTTAGCCATTTTCTTCAATCGCTACCTATATCCTTGGCTTTTTTAGTTGTAAAATTACGTATACTTGATGGTGTCTTGATCTGGTATAAGCATTCAATCTATAAATTATATTAATAAAAGCTTAGCTCAGTGCTGATAAAATTGTCAATTAGAAACCAGAAGTAAGAATTAAGCTATTTTAAGAATGAAACAAGAATAGACGTAGTTTAATATTTAACAATAGCTCATTAATCTTGAGAGATGAACCCAGCTTATTTTCTTGCTTTCAGTCAGGAACATCAATGTTGCATCAGCTTGCACTATCCGATCAAAAATATGCATTATGATTAGCCAGCATCAAAGATGACAAATTTACAGTAAGAGGCTAAATCTCCCCTCATTGGCCCATTCGTGTCTTTTGTGTATCATTGTTTTAGGAAATGTTCCAAGTGATCAATATTTAAAAACCCAGGCCCTTGCTGGCCAAGGTGAAGAAGGGGGCAGATGCTGCTGCCCCCCATGGGGTCTGTTTGCGATAGCTTGGCCAAGTTTGGCACACACCGGCGATAGGGTTGAAACTTGTCTGGTCACTGACCTATGATGTCATAGGAAACTTCTACAGTCATGGTCCTAAATTGACAAATTTGCAATGCCAATGCCCCCAGTGCCAGAGGTGCTTTCACAGGGAGATGTAACTTACCTGACCTAGTGTCCTCCAGAGGTTTCACTACTTCTGTATACCTGGTAATTATCATTGTTGTACCTATGTACTTATAACTATAAGTTCCTGTGAAGTGAATTTCCCCTTGGTTGCCATTCTCTTCCTCCCTCCCTCTCTCCCTCTCCCTCTCTCCGGTCTCCCTCTCTCTCTCTCTCTCTCTCTCTCTCTCTCTCGCGCTCTCTCTCTGAGTTTCGTACCTAACGGTTACGGTGCACACGCTCATTTTTCCCCGCGACGCTCTAGCTTCATTAGGGGCGAAACGGCGAGGGGGATCGTACCCCCCCCCCCCGGACGAGACATGTGTACTAGTCACTAGAAATTAGAAAACCAATAGGTCCGGACTCCCGGAGAGGTTTAATGCCATACCATAGTAGGTAAATGACCAACTATGTTTCATCCAGTTAAATATGTCCAACCAAACAGTGAAGTGGGCTGTGGTGTACAGGCTTGGTCTTTCATAGGAGCACACCAGGGCCAGGGGTTTCAACTTAGGTTGAATTGTCTGGCATACAGAGGCCCCTTTACTTTAACCTTCCTGCTAATGGTCATGTAGCCGGAAGTGCAACCATTTGTAACGTTTGTTTTATTCTTTTCTAACATGTCTGTTTTCTTGGCAGGCTCTACTACGTACCTAGTTGGAGTTTTTATAACAATGTCCGCTGAAATGCAAGCTGAAGAGCTGGAGGTTTTAAGGTCCATATATGAAGGAGACCCATCTTATATTGAAGTTGATGAGAAGACCTTTCAGTACAAGGTAATCAATTCATTTTTATTCAGGTATTTGCCAACCATGCTTCATCATTTTGTTACAGGTTTTATTGTATTTCTAGGACCATTTTAGCTATTTGTTACTGTTCAGCCAAGTGTATTAAGGTATTAACTTCAATGCAAGTTTTGTAATGTCAACAAAACATTTGTGAAGTTTGGATTAATGGCAGGTGGAGATAAAGTGTTGACCTCGCTGCTCTTTTTGATCGCCGCGGTCATATTGTGTTTGTCTTGTCTGTCCTTTTTCAACATGTGCCCTTTTCCAATAACCTGTTTTATGAAACAGGTTAAGCAGTGCTCAAATATGAATATTTACATTATATTACATTACTCTTTCTAACTGATTTCAGTATGGGGAAGACGGTGACATTAAATCATTTCTGGTGGAAGTAAAGTGGACTGAAAATTACCCTGATGAACTACCCAACATCAACCTTGATGCTTTCTATAACAAACACATGTAAGTACCCCTAACTCCTTGGCATTTGCTTGTCCTTCTACTTTGCTGTTGATTCTGACTCGTTGAAACTGAAACTATTTAATAAAAAAAACTTTGTGTTTGCCAGAGACTATTACAGTATATCAATTGGGTAGCAACATCAGCTCTGTATGGTATTTTTAAAGCATCTTTTCTGTTTTGAATATGATTAGAGGCAGAGTGCATCTGCTGCACCCTAGCCAGAATACATCTCTTTTTGTCCTTATTTGCACGCTCCCCAAGTGACCACCGTGTACGGGGCGCCGTCAGCCTGCCGGCGGTGAAGGAGCACGTGGTGGACCAGGTGCGCCAGCAGGCGGACACCATGCTCGGCATGTCGATGACGTTCACCCTGTTCGAGTGGGTGAAGGAGAGCGTGACCGAGCTGATGGCGGAGCAGACGGCCGCGCCGCCCGTCAGCCAGGCCACTGAGGAGGTGGAGCAGCTCACCATCACGCAGGTGGGCGTCCAGTGGAGAGGAGGGCGGTCCCGTAGCTCAGTTGGAAGAGCGTTGGACTCCGCGTGGTGAGAGCACGCAGTCTCTGTTATAACAGTCCGGGTTCGAAGCGCGACGGGCGCTTGACATTTATGGGCCTCCTGACAGGTATGGTTGCGGTTGGTGGCAGGCCGTAGCCAGGCGAAGTCGGTGAGGGGACCGGCCGTGCGCGGCTATGTGCGCACGTAAAACTTTGGACTCTAAATTCTGCCATAGAACTGGAATTGCGCGATCGGAGGGTAGAGGGCAGGGTCACCGCAACAAGCTCCGCTTAGCGGTGGCTCTGTCCTTGTGAATCCTTTCTATCAAAAGGCTCGGACTAAATTTATAAAAAAGGGTAGCACGTGGCGAGGTCCGCGTGTCCTCAGAGTACTCTGACACGCAATGGGAGAGTAGACAATAGCTTAGTGCGGACAGGATTATTGTATGTGATGCGATATGTTTTTGAAACGTTTCGTGTTGTATTAGACACGTGATAAAGAATTGACTTAGTTGTATGAGCTACAACGGTTGGTGACACTCCGATTTGAGCCGTTTTAGAAGTTGCTGTTGATAATCAAGATGGCGCTGTTCACATGCAGATTCGTGAGAACGTAATAGACTTGTGCTATTGGTCTCAAGGTAAGGGTCCCAGCGGCCAGTAGTTTGGATGCGATTAATAACCTACCTTTTGCCCCACTCGGACAGATTGGAGTGTACTCGATCCGAGTCTCACAGTCGAGTCGGTCTGACAACCGACAGCCGTCAGTCTGACAGGGGATATTCCGGACGCGTTTAAACTACTGGTCGCTGCAACCCTTATCTTGAGACCAAGAGTACCTATGTTACCCGTTGATCCGCTCTCAGAGTGTAAAGGGGAGGTTAAGGTATTTTAGTTACGACTGACGAGTATGCATAATGCATATTGCATACACGACAGCCGCCTCCTCTGAGTGTGAGCTTCTCTGATCGCCAGGAGGGCGGCGGCGTCAAGAAGGAGAAGAAGGAGCAGCTGTCCAAGCAGCAGAAGCGACGCGCCTGGGACCGCGCGCAGGTGGGCGGCGGCGGCGAGCGCGCCCGCGGCTGGGACTGGGTGGACATCATCCGACACCTGTCCCAGACGGCGCCCAGCTAACGGCGGGCCGTCCACCGGGCCGTCCTGGGCTCCCCTACCGTCCCCGCTCACACTCACAGAGAGACCGACTAGCCAGGCCCCTACCGTCCCCGCTCACACTCAGAGAAACCGGCTAGCCAGTCCCACGTGACACCAAACGACGATATTTCGATCGGGTATTGATGTGGCCAGAGCTTTAGCGGAGGCTTGTCGAAGCAACGACTATTTTCTACTAGAGTTCGTCCCGGGTTGGTGGCGTTTCAGGTGTGGGAAACATATATTTCTGACCACAAATCGTCAGATGGTAAGAGTTTCGGCGATTGTTTCACCTTCTGGCAAAAGAGACAAACTGAGTGCTTTTGTGACCACATTGAATAACGATGGGAAGCGGGCGGCACCGGCGCTGTGGGATCCAAATGTGATGCAAAGTGTTGTTGTGTGTAGTGTTGTTTTCATTGGTAGTGAACTGACGGGTCAGAGGCGCTGTCATACGTGCTTGCGTGACGAGAAGCAGCGCCGAAGAGGTATCTGGAAGCATGGTTTGCCAACTAGGAACAATGTTGTCACTCGGGACGGGCTCGTTGTCAGGCTCCGTTTCCATCGTTTGTCTGTTCCGGTATTGCATCCGGTTTGTTCCATCTGCCTTCAGATCCTAACGACCTCCTTCAGTTGCTTTAGTTGCCTGGTTTTCGCTAAAGGATGCGTTGAATCGCACGTCGAAGATTTGTCATTCTTCCTCCTATTGATTGCCGAGATTCGGGTAAAAGATTGGTTTTTCGTCTGCATTTTGTTTTGAGACTTTCTGGTTTCTCCTAATACCTTCTGCTCATACTTCTTCCCAGCAATCATATACATTTTTCACTTCTAAAAAAATGTATACACTCATCACTACTTGCTGGAGCATATTTTTCGACACATGCTGCCCGACCCTCCGGCTTTCTGCGACGTAATAAACTGTAGTGTTGCACAATGATCGACCATGAAAGGTTTCGCTGTCTTCCGGCTCATAATTCGCCAAGAGCAACTCAATGCTTTTACCGGGATTTTAAGCTCTCTGCTATTATAGTATTTGCCACGGTGACTATATTTGCATTTTTCGAGATGATACGCTGATCACGATTGCTGACAATACATATGGTGATACTTGTTAGTACTTGCTTGCTTTGTTCGTAACCTAAGATCCAACGACGTTGTTCTGCGATGTCATACACCGATTGTATGATGGTTGACAACATTGGCGGCCTGTTATTTGATTTTTTACGTTGATATTTTTTAGCAACATCGTAGGTATACCTAGTTCTCTGGCAATGTTTGGAAAATCGTTGAATATTTTTATGTTTTATATATAACGATAAAAATTAACACCCTAAGCAACATCGTCTTGTCGCTCTTTATCAGTATCCTAAATCAAGGCCTCACGTGATAATTCAGGTTCGATCAATTAAAAACCCAGTTTTGATTTAATCATGGTGCGTGCGAACTTCAGCGCATCAGTTGTTTCAACAAAACCCGCAATACCCATGAAATATGGGACAGGAAATGATCTCCATTGACTGGTGCACTTTCTTCCACAAGACGGACGTAATCGCCACACTTCGCCAGCATCCATCCGTTGAAAGACGCCGCCACGATTCCAGTTCGACCGCTTGACCCGGCACAGAGCCGAAGCACCAGCGTGAACAAATCGTCACCGGGTGATCACCACTCATTGTCCCCAGCCGCACGACATGATGCTGCAACGCGACTCTGAATCACCGTCACTGCATTGTGATATCGGGCCGTGACATAGTCTCGTTCGGACGGCTTTTGGCGCGGCCCAACACCCGCCGCATTCGTCAAAGTCACGCCGTTTTGGCGCGACTGCAACAGGGGGGGGGGCGGTGTCGTAATTTGTTACGTCGCCCGGTACAAATGTGCGTAGTCAGAACTGTACGGTGGCTCATGATGTGTGCTTTCACCGTTCCGTAAGGAGTGTCCCAAACTTGCCAGGAGTGGGCTCGTAGATACTTAGGTACTGCAAGCTCTGTTCTTACATGTACGTACATATGTACAGTGTATAGTGTACAGTACTAAGGCACTTCAATTACTTGCAATCATGGGGTTAAACCGTCTTTTTTTTTGCCCCAAACTGGGACATTGCTTTGGTACGTAGGCACCGCCGAAAGGCAGTTCATTTACATCGCATTGACAATTCGTTAGATTTTTTTTTTTAATATTGAAGGGAGCAGTTAATTCCATGCTTAACCCTCGCTTTTGTGCGGCGTTTTACAGAGTATAACATGGTATAACGTTTAGGGGGAGGGGATCGGGTGGACCCCCTTTGCCGTTCGGCCCCTGATCGAGCTAGAGCTTTGCGGAAACAACGAGCGTGCTGCCCTGGACGAGAGGAAGGCAATTATATCAAATTTTAAGGTCCTAGGTCATTGGTTGACCTTCCAGGTCAGGTCAATGACCCAAAAAGTTGGGAAAATCGGGACCTGCTAGAATTTCGGAAAGTAAAGCTGTTGTGTTCTTTTGGGGTGCTGATGACCAATTTCATGTTAGTTTTTTATCACAGACGATGTCTTGATGCATTTAGGCCAGGTCGATAATTCGTAATTCCATGCGTAATTCTCTGAAGCTGTATCAGTTTCACAGTATTCATGAAATGAGTATAATAGAATTAGAGTTGCAAAATTTGCCTACCGCACTACCGGCATGCCGGTAATTTTTCACTGCCGCAGGTTTTTTCGTGGTATCTGGCATGTCTTGCCGGTAGCATGACGGTATTTTTGATTTCGCACAAAAAATATATCAGCATATGATTCAAACTTTGCACACTAAGAGGCTATTAAATTGTAATAACAGCAATCTTAGCCACTGCAAAATACATTTAATTGCCAAAATGTGGCATCTCATGTAGGGGTAAGCCAAAATCAAGAATGCAGGTTTTTTAGTAGGTATGCCGGTAATTTGGCGGTTTTTTTTGCTTGGGCGTGGTAGCATGCCGGTATCCCAGAAAATTTTTGTGGGGCGGGGCGGTGCCGGTAGCAGCCCAACTTTGCAACTCTAAATAGAATGTTGTTCTCACTCCATGAATGAGTATGATACCCGCAAACCCAAAACCCGCAGACTCGCAACCCGCATGCGAGGTCCAGTGTGGGGCGGCCTTGAGAATCGCTTCTATTATAATCTATAGTAGCTGGCACATTGGTAACTTTTTGGTCGCCACACAGTTGTCGTCATTCCATTCAGCAAAGCGGTAGCCTTCCGACACTTTCCGAATTTCCACACAGTCTTCTTGGTCACGCCAGTTGTCCGGCTGCCCAGAGGCCCACACGTATCCGTCACTGATCGTGACGGCCCTGCCGCCCGGTCCGCGGAAGACGCCCTCCTCGGCGCTGTCGGTGATGCCCAGCCAGATGTTCTCGTGGCCTGCCAGGCCGGCGACGCACAGGTTCTCTGTTCGGGAGCGGGGCACGGCCAGGTGCGCGTGCAGCGCCAGGCAGTCCCGCTCGGCCTGGGCGTGGTTCACTTGTGTGGACAGCCGACTGTAGCACTGTCCGGCGCACGGTATGAAGTTGCCAGGGCAGGTGTTCCGGCAGCCCTGTTCAAAAGACGGACACATGGACTGGTTAGTTCACGAGGACCTTACCTTTATACAAATAACTTGATTCCAAAACTATCCTTTTTTAACCCGACCGCAGCATGCATCGCCGGTGCCGTTGCAAAGGCCATAACCTGATCTATATTATCTATTCGCAACCCACTGGTCTTTTTATTGAGAACTAGTTGTCAACATTTAAGTGCATTTTGTTCCGATATTGATCATTTGGGAGAAATCATTACGCTTTAGGCATGTCAATCTGCTCGGAAGTCGGTGCAGCAAAAGAAGGTAAACCAGAGAACAGTATAACTCAGGCGGTTGTTTGGCCAAAGTTCAAACACAGACAGTTAGGTCTCACCTGAGGTTCGTGAGTGGAGTCGTGTTGGTCTAGAGCTGCTGCGACGACCTCTGCAATAATCTCACGCAGACCGGTCACCTGCAGTGTGACTCCGGGGTCACTCACTGAGACCGAGGGCTCACCCAGTCCGATAGCCGGTGAGGCGCTAGACGGGCAGAGAATCGCTGCGGCCACACACGCGACCATGAGGGCCCCACTGGAGAACGTCATCGTGAATGGTGCGAACTTGGAAAAGCGGGGCGACAATGGCGTGATGTGATCGGAAAGGACAGTGAGACAGCTGAGAGAACCCTCTCGAACCCTCGCGACACAGCTGTCGACTGTCTGTGCTGGTGCACGCTGCTCGGTTATTATAAGTCATTTGCTGGGGAAGTTGGTGCGATGGTTTTGCAAATGAGCCGATAGTTTATACGGCCGTAGATGGTCTACGTTCAGTGTAAGCAAACTTGCTTCAAGGAATGTTTCTGCTGGGTGAAAAAACCAAACCCCAAGTTGTACATCATTATCTGGACTTGGAGATCTGGTTGGGATCACGCTGTTTTAAATGGCTGGTAGTCCGTGACAACATGGCACATAAATATCATACAAAATGTCCACGTGACCGTCTAAACATGCGCCAGGGCGAGACAGGGGTTTTATACCCGCTTCACAGGGGTTAACTTTATCAACCGATCGGCAGCCTGATAGTTTTCAACATTCAATACTTTTCATAATCGAGTGCCATCGTGGAAAGTCAATAGGGTTGCCCAACGTTTCCATCGTGACCGTCCAGTGGCGTCGTGGTCCATGTGCAAACATTACGCACCCGGCTGACGGGTATTCAGGCCGGGCGGCCTGAGCGAGCCAGCGCGGCGCCGTTCCATGTTGCGAGATCTCGCGCATAATAGAGCCGCGGCCGCGTGTCAAACGGGCGGGGATGACACCGCGATCTGAGTAAATCGAGAACGGTATTTTCGGGTGGTTGGCCACGACAGTAAATGACAGTGACCTTGAGAAAAGGGAGAGTATGGGAGCCATCAGGCAGAGCGGTTGTGTAGGCTCAACTGGTAGATTAGCATGCGTCCAATGAAGCCTCTGGATTTTCCACTCGCGAACGGCGGCATACCACTGTTGAAACACTCCCCTTCACCCCGGCTTAGGGGCCCGGCAAGCGGCGATAGTACGGTGATAAACCTTCATTGCTCGTATATTCATAAACCATGTCGACCATGCCATACACTACATGAGCATTTGGAGTTCAACTCACTCCCCAGTAAGGAAGCATGTAAGGTTTTATTTTGCAACTCGGTTCTCTCTTTTTTATCCATCTGAACAAATAACGGGAAAGAATTGGGTAGTGACTAGTGAGACGATATAAGACAATGTGGAGATTGTCCAAAAGCTGATGGAATCTGATTCTCCTTTCATATCGCCCGCCGTGGCGATAATGGAGCATAAAACGTCCACGCAAGTTTTTCCTCCAATATCTGAAAAGATCACAATTTTCCTCAAACTTAGGATCTACATAATCCTTCCGTATGTGTTTCCAAGTTGCGTCCGGTCAGACCGTACCAATTTATATCACCTATCAAAAGAAACGATTGAAGTCAGATGAAGATTGGAAGATAGGTAGAAACACAATGGCGGACTATACGATATGCGAATCTAGTTGCAGAATAAATAATTATTGCAGGTTCGTAACTGACAGTGTTCTCTGTTTATTGCATTTGCGACGCTGTATAGGTACCGGCAACGGTTGCTCTCTGGAGGCAAAAAGAAACATAACCCCGGGTCAACTCAGACACACCACACACCATCGTAAAGAGGTGCGATGTTGTATCTCTTTCTATGTAATGAGCACACACAGAAAAATATTGACACCGTTAGCGGTGTAATTGCACAGTACATATCTGAGCACTTGAGGAAAGTTAATTTAGTCCCTTCCCCGCTTAAATTACTCGCGCTTCCAAATGAACACCAGGAAGAAGGTAATAGAACACTGTTAGGAGGGTTGGGTGTTTTACTACATGTAGCAAAACACCCAACCCTCCTAACAGTGTTCTATTACCTTCTTCCTGGTGTTCATTTGGAAGCGCGAGTAATTTAAGCGGGGAAGGGACTAAATTAACTTTCCTCAAGTGCTCAGATATGTACTGTGCAATTACACCGCTAACGGTGTTAATATTTTTCTGTGTGCAGAAGGCGATTTGTAAAGGCAAGATCGGGAAGGTTGACTTTGGATGACGTGTAACCCATAATAACCGCAAATATCTTAACTGCAAAATCTTCCATTTAACTGTTTGACCATCTTTCGCGGGCGCCGCCTGCCGCCCGTCATTACATATGTGACCGGGGGGGGGGGGGGGCAGTGGGATGTGCCCCGGGAGACCCCAGTAGGATGGGCGAATATGAAACTCCTCGCGCGCCGAGCTAGAAGTTCGGACCACTATCCCGGCGTTAAATAGGACAGATTAGGTTACAGTTCGTGGGAAAATTAAAACGAAAGGTTCGTTTTTTTTTAATTGGATATGCTAAAATAAAAACCACTCTACGTAATTATCACCTTATTTCTTAATTCATGGTGAAATTTTCAATAGTACCAGGTACACGGTTAAAATTTGCGCTTTAGGTACACATTGGAATAGGGAAGGAAGTATGAGAAAGAACGGTCAAGATAACTATATGTAAAATTCGGTAGAATCATTTTATTCATTAGACCTGACGATCAGGCAGGTATCGAATGTGCATCGAGGTCATCCTAAGCCGTTGGTGATTGTGACGCGGCTCGCATCGCCTGTTAGAATCTTTTTTTCTTCTTCACGAATCACGATGGCACCCAATTCCATCCACGTGCGGGCGCTGCTCACGTCACCGACCAGCTGCTTAATAAGCATGCAGCCATTGCTTGCGATTGCAGACACACTGGCGCGGCCGTGGATACACAACGAAATGGCCCGTCGCGAAAGCGCGCGAGAGTGAAGATAGTCGCTGACATGCCGCCACTTGTCATCGGCCAAGCGTTAACATTAGTCACGAGGCTGCGCGTGCTCATGTGTTCCAGTCATGGGCTCGGCGGTATGGAAACATTATAGCGCAGTTGTCAGCGGGCCAGTGGCGGCATCCCGTTCCCGGAAGAGATGCCGATCAACAATCAAGATACGTCCGGTTCTCTTCGTTTTCTGATTGTCGGATTGTGGTGGTGACGCTTGACTGAGTTCACGGTGGTTTGTTCGGCCTTTCGGCGGTGCAGTGCATGGCGGAGCTTAGCAGCCGGAATACGAGTCAGTCCTTCTTTAGGTTAAGAGAGAGAAAAAGGGAGGGAGATAGAGGCGAGAGAGAGAGAGAGAGAGAGAGAGAGAGAGAGAGAGAGAGAGAGAGAGAGAGAGAGAGAGAGAGAAGGGAGAAAGAGGATAGGAGAGGGATACTTGTGTAAAGAATGAGTCTTGTGGACAGAATAGTGAGAAGACAAAACTATCAAATATTTAAGCGAGGAGACCTACTGCCGACGAAGAGGAGAGGCATAGGCGCGGGAGCCGGGGGGGCAGTGGGGGCAGCTTGCCCCCCCCCCCAACTCTGGGGCCGTGGGGGCGGTGCCCCCACAGCTTTGAGACGGAATACCACATTTTTTTTGCAGATGTTTTCTTTTTTGTTGAAAAAGCCGAGGGGCGAAAAATAAGTGGCCTAAAACCGGTGAGAAAACTAGATTTGGGGGTACCCTAGGTTAATCTCTATTATGGTGTGCCCCCCCCCCCCCCAGTCGGAAAGTAGTTCCCGCGCCCCTGAGGAGAGGAGCTAACTGAGTCCTCACTCTCAGCCGAGCGGGACACACCGGCCAGCTCGGCCCTGACCTGGCGCTGAAGGTGTGTGGTGTGCCGAGTGGCTGGTCAGCTCGGCCGCCGAACGGAGAGCGGCTTCAAGTGTCGCCTGATCATCTGCAGCTGAATGGTGCCGTGTCAAGTGGGGGGCTCGCTCCACCCATGGATGATAGAGCAAACCAGCGCGTACCGCTTCTCGTGAGGTCAGGGGATCAGACGCTAGCGACGTTATCTAGAGACTCTAGAGACAGAGAATAAACGTATATCAAACTACTAAAATACTGCGCTTTTAGGACTGTGAACAGAGTCCGTGACAAAATGAAACGTCGTCCGTTTCCTTTGCCGTCATTGGCAGTGACGAGCCCAGACTAACGCCACGCAGTAGCGACCAGCGATGACGACCCATTTGACGTTAATCGTCACGTGGCGTCTGTTGTCGGTCGGAGCGAGTATTGTGCGGCGCAACACGGCGACTCGGCGGGCGGCGCGGCGCGGCGCGGCACGTATTCACCCAGACAGTGCCGGCTGCTGGCTCGATTGTGTCGTGTCGTAACCGCAGCACGGCGCTTCTCCGCCGCCTGCGATGGGCCGAACTCGTGCTGCGAGCCGCCGCCCGCCGTCCGCCCCAGCCTGCAGCGGCCGGCGGGCCGGGGGAATCCAGCCAGCCCCCATCGAGCCGCTGTCCGGTGGCGCAAAGTGCAGTCACGGCGCCGGTGGTGGCCGGCCGTGTGCGGCGCGTTGCGTCACGGCCCGCCCGTGATGAGCGGCCGCGTCAGCCGGTGCTGTGTCACGCTGTGGACAGCGGCGGCCGTGACACTGACCCGACCGGCGGCGTCACATGGCACGTGACGTGACGCGCTGCGATGGCACGTGACGTGACGCGACGATCGGTCCCTCTCAGCTCCCCACTGCTCAGTCCCGCTCTTCTCTCCCTTTCTCCGCTCGTCTCTGCAGCTGAGTGCCGGCCCCGGCCACCCCTGCTGCACCGCCCCCCGCTCACTGCTCTGTGTCCACAGGGTGCCCGGGGCACCTCTGGGCCAATAGTAACCCTGTGATCGCCCCGTCCCGTTCACTCACCCGCCCCCGGGCGGTGACCAGTCGCACAAATGACGGGCGGGGTGTCCGTGCGCTGCAATGTAACGACACCACAGCCAGGTGGGATCGGTGAAAAACGGAGAGTCATTTCACCCACGGCTAATGTCGCCAAGTGCTGCAATTTTAAATTACCTCGGAGTACGTGCAAACTCACGAGGTCACGGTCGTCATTTTTCAGATGAGGCGGCTACAAAAGCTTGAAACAAGTGACACGTGTTAGCCCATTTATCCGCCCACCGTGTTAAATCTCGGCCGCCATATGGAGGCGGGAAGGGGGAGGGGGGAGGGTCCACTGCTTTTATTGGAAAACTTGACAATATTCAAAATCCAAAGGACATTCGATTAGCCTCAGCAAATGCCTCCAAGAAACCCAGATGCATTGATCTTAGTGCTGCCGATGTCGTGACAAGGCAGTTCTGACAGGCGAAAAATGAA